GTGTCCCATCCTCAGCAGACAGAGTGCATCAGAGACCGTGTGTCACGTGCCAGACTCTGAGACTCGCTTGGAAGGGAAGAAACTCAACTCATGAATGTTTTGTTGAGCTGCTGAGGGTCAAAGCCAGTCACGGAAGGTCAAAACAGGATGCTATTTATACAAAATTGAAAAACAGGCAACATGACACCCCATGGCAGTGACAGATTTATTCACATGGAGCAAAATGGAGCAAAACTGTTTCCATTTTAAAGCAAACAATTGCCAACACCTCCTTGAAGCTAGTGGCCGCTCCTGGGAAGAAAGGGTAGGATTCGAAGAGGAAAAGCTACCTGAAGGGCCTCCGTTATTTGAGAAATTGGGTTGCTCATCACATTTATTTATTTAGTGTGAGGTGTGCCTGTGTGACATGGCAGATCAGAGGAAAACTTGCTGGAGTTGGTGCTCTCTTTCCACCGTGCGGGTCCTCTGGATCAAACTCCAGTTGTCAGGCCTGGAAGCAAACACCCTTACTGACTGAACCATCTTGGCAGCCCTTAAAGCGTCTCTTTAACAATGTTCTGAATAGCAGCTGCAGGTACCTCTACATCACATGGAAGGAAACTGAGGCACGGAGGCACATTCATCAGAGACCCCAAGACCAGCCAGGAAACAACAAGGTCAGGAAAAGGTCATGGGAGGAGCCCTGGGGGCTGGCATGGAGCAGGACTGGAGGAGGAAGGCTTGGTTCCCAGAGTTCAACTTTAAAGAGGGGAGTGGTGTGTGTATGTGTGTACACCCTAGCGCCAGGCCTGGACTGTCCCCTGCCACACCTGTGTGTTGAGGTCACTCTGGGTGACCCCGTGAAGCAGTCGTTGCTAAATGGAGAGGTGCAAAGCTCCCCGGATCATCAGTGAGCTTGGGGGGAGGGCTGCGACAGGCTGGAGGCCTGAGGGGCCCCCTCTCCGGCTCCTGCCAGCAGGCCCAGGTGGCCACCTCTCCAGCCTGACCTTTCTGTTCTAACAGAGCTGCTCTAACTACCATCCCTGCCGCCCAGGTTCCCACCACTGACCCTAAATCCCCTGAGCCAGAGAGCATGGGTAAGCCTGGAGATATACCCGCGGAAGGCCTCTGGATGGGAGACAAAGAGTGGGCTGGCATCGGCAGGCCAGATGGGAATACTGGCACTTTGTGTCCGTGACCAATGACTGAGTCTCCATGCCTCAGTTTCCCTGCCAGTAATCTGAGAAGTATCATTCTGATCACTAGTACATGCTGGACTTCACGAACTCTTGGATAAATAAATTAAGAAAAAGAGAGTACAGTGCCCAGGACCTGTCATCAAGTGCATAATATTATCATCGTATCATCTCCGGTTATTTCGGATTTTTTTTTTTTTTTTTTGCATAGGCAACACATACTCACAAGAAAAAAAAAATCAGTATAAAAGACACAGCTATTTAGAAGTTCCCTGAAAGACATGTATGGACATTTATCTATTTATGAAGGGGTGTGTGTGTGTGTGTGTGTGTGTGTGTGTGTGTGTGTGTGTGCTCGCTACATGCTTAAGAATGCCTTCAGAAGGCAGAAGAGGTTGCTGGGTTCCCTGTGACTGGAGTATGTGGATGTGGATGCTGGGAACTGAACCCGGGTCCTTTGCAATAGCAACAAATGCTCTTAAGTGCTGCGCCATCTCTCCAGCACTAAATGGACTTAAATTTTCTTTAAAAAAAAATATCTTTTTTTTTTTTTTTTTTTTTTGGAGATGGAGTCTCACTGTGTACCCCTGGCTGGCCTTAAATTCAGAGATCTGCCCAACTCTGCCTCCTGGATTCTGGGTATGAAAACGTGAGCCGCCTGCACACGGGCTCCATCTGGAGGTCAGAGGATAAGTATGGGAGTCAGTTCTCTCCTTCCATGGGTGGGATTGAAACTCAAGTTGTGAGACTGGGTGGGCAGCGAGTATCGTTAACCTGCTAAGCATCTCTCCAGCCCCACCATGTATGGGGTTAATCTGCTGAGCATCTCTCCAGCCCCACCACGTATGGGTTTCTGCCTTAACCAGAATATTTAAAGGACTTGTTGGGCGGGGGATTGAACCCACACAGGTTCTTGGTGGGTTTTAGAGGATAACAATGTGGTTAAATGATGATAGTGGACCTACGTAGATGGTGCAGAGAGGCACCCATGCAGGCAAAAACACCAATCATATTTTAAAAATTAATACATAAATGACAGTAAAACTGTAGTTCACATGTACTTTGTTTTATTATTATCCTATGAAGAAAAGCATAAATGAGTTCCTATTAGGGACATTTCTCCTTTCAGAGAGTCAGTCCCAAAACCCCTTTAGCATACATATGTACTTTTAATTTGAATTTTTCAAGAATTTTATTTTGTTTGCTTTTTTTGGGGGTTGTTTTTTGTTTTTTTTTTTTATTTCTGGGGGTTTGTTTTGTTGTTTGTTTGCTTTGGTCTTGTTTTGTTTGTTTTCTTGTGGGTTGTGTGTGTGTGTGTGTGTGTGTGTGTGTGTGTGTGTGTGTGTGTGTGTTGTTTTTTTTGAGACAGGGTTTCTCTGTATAGCTCTGGCTGTCCTGGAACTCGCTCTGTAGACCAGGCTGGCCTCGAACTCACAGAGATCCGCCTGCCTCTGCCTCCCGAGTGCTGGGATTAAAGGCATATGCCACCACCGCCCGGGCCTGCCTCAGCTTCTTAAGTGTTGTGGGTACAGGCATGCACCACTATACCTGGCTTTCTGGAATATTTAATTTAATTGGTTAGTCGATTAATTTCTAAGACAGTGTTTTCAGTTTGTGCAGGCTGGCTTTCAACTCTCCACGTAGCTCAGGCATGTCTTAAACATATGACCCTCCTGATTCAACCTCCCAAGGAACTGAAATGGAAGGTCTACACCACCATACCTGGCCAGATTTGTGTATTTGGTTGTGTCGGGTCTTACTATGTATCCCAAGCTCCAGCTCACAATCCTCCTGCCTCAGCCTCCTGAGTGCTGGGATTACAGGCGCGCACCACAACGTCTGGCTTTGTTGGAGTATTTTGTTTTTATTAACGTTATGGCATTGGTTTGTTTGTTTAGTGTGTGTGTGTGTGTGTGTGTGTGTGTGTGTGTGTGTGTGTGGTGTGTTAAGGTCAGAGGCCCACATGTGGGAGTCAGTTCTCTCCTTTCACCATATGGGTTCCAGGGATCGAACTCTGGTTGTCCGGTTTGGTGTCAAGCCCCTTTACCTGAGGAGCCATCTCGCCAGCCCCGTCAATCGTTCTATGCCTTTGCTTACTTCCCCTAGCGGAACACGAAAAAGACAAGGAGCAAAGGAAATTCTGCTTCAGCCCAGTCAGGCTCCTCAGTGACAATCGCCCCAGCCAGTTTCCTGGGGATCCTTCCAGAGCCTCGGAGAACTGTGTTGTGTCTTTATTAATAGCCGGCTGTAGTAGTAGTGGAAACATGAGAGGTGCTGACGTCAGGGCTGTGAGTCACCCAGGCCTGGCGCGGACCTGGCTCCCTCTGACCTGGTGTAAGGCGATGCTGCTCTCGGAACCCCGGTTTCCTGCTCCACGGGCTGGGGACAAAGCCTGGCACCATGGGCAGCTGGAAGGGGGCAGTGTAAAGCCCCCTGCTCCGACGGCAGCGGGGGTCAGGGAAGGTTGTAGAGCACAGAGAGATATGACCCGCTGTGTCCCCAGCAACCTCTGCTCCCAAGTCCCAAGGGGGGCATGAGTCTGGACGAACCGCTGGGTCTAGGAAGGAGGGCTGGAGTATGAGGGAGAACAGGCTGGGATGTGGAACCCCAGGTCTGGGTGTGGAGGGCTGGGGTCTAGGCTCCTGAGTCTGAGGACGAGGGCTGAAGTCAGGGTTGGCCCATTTGAGAGAGGAGGGTTGAGGGGCTAGATCCCGGGGTCTGGAGGAGGAGGGCTGGGGACCTGGACTCCTGGGTATAGGGAAAGAGGGCTAAGGCTTGGACTCGTGTGTTTAAGGCAGGCTGGGGGGCTTAGGCTTGGTATTGAGGAGCAGGGCGTGGGAGCAGTCCTGGCTTCCGGCCTTCAACACTCCCAGCCCCTAAAGGAAGGTCCGAACCCTGGACCAGTCATCCCCACTGGCTTTGAATGGGGCTCCTCTCCTTTTCCTTCTGCTCTCAGCCTGGCTCTTGGGGGTTCGCAATACGTTTTGTCCCCTCTGTCCTGGGACCAGAGCCCGGAGTCCAGGCTGGTCTAAGTTTGGAAGGGGGAGGGAGGGGACAGCGGGTCAGGGGGGTGAGGGAGGCGTGTAGGGGGGACAGGATGTCTCTGTCTCTGAGCTGTCACACACACCTCTGCCCAGAGAAAGGGAGGGACAAAAGACTCGGAGAGACAGAACAAAGAGAGACAGACAGACACAGAGACGGCCCAAGAGAGCCAGAGAGACAGGGAGGCAGAGAAGAGTGTAGGGACGTGCCATGGGCAGACTCCGTTGATAAACAGGGGACAGTGTGCAGGGGAGTCAGAGGCCCCAGCAAACAGAGGCAGGGTAGAGAGAGGGAGAGCACCCCGGGGAGAAACAAAGGGAGGAAGAGAGTGGAGGGGAAAGGGACAGACAGATGAAAAGAAAAAGAGCCAAAGTTATACTCGGAGAGTAAAGAAAGGGATTGAGAGAAATAGAAAAGAGGGAGGAACAGAGACACAAAAGGCAGACAGGGAGGGGGGGGAGAGAGAGAGAGAGATTCAGAAGGAAAGAAAGACTGCCAGAGGTTGTAGAGAAGGAATCGAAGGCTGAGAAGACGGAAAAGAAATAAGTAAGGCAACAGAGGGCGACACACCCCCAGGAGGGAAGAAGGACCGGGAGTCTGAGAAACAATCTCGGGGGCCAGGAAGATTGTTTCAGAGGGACACCAAGGCCTCCCTCCAACAGCTTCACCGCACCCGGCCAGGGAAAGACCCGTGGGGGTGCAGAGGGTCCCTCAGGCTGGTTCCTCTTCGGGGAGTCTAGATAAGGGGTGCATAAAGGGCCAGCTGACATCAGACAACCTGAGATGGAGCTCAGGGCCCCCGAGACCCCCGAGGATGGGGATACAGAGGTGAGAGAGGAGGGGACAGACCGGAGGGAGGGGGAGAGAGAGAGAGAGAGAGGAGAAACAGGGAGATTTAGAGGGAGAGACAGAAAGACAGACAGAATGGAGAGAGAGACAGAGAGACAAAGAACACACAGAGAGAAGGAGAGACAGAGAAGAGAAGAGAGAGAGAGATGGGGGAGCTGGAGGCCCAGATTCAGGAAAGGACAACAGTGCAGACCCAAAGGGTCGATCCCTGGGACCAGAACACGCAGATCAGAACACATGGAAGAGAGGATGAAGGGGGTCCCGTGGGCTAAACACAAACCCATAGTTGGGGGTTGAGAACTTCTGGCTGTCTCCCTCAGGTGGGGGCAGATAAAGCCTTTGAGACTGAGACCCCCGAACTTTGCTAGGATACAAGAACAGGTGTCCCCGGGCTGGGTGACTCACTGTGACTCATCCTTCTCTCTGGGGACAGTGACCCCTGTCCCTTGCATCCACAGCTTGGTTCTGGGCCTGGACTCCGATCCCTGCTGTTGTTCAGGGAGGCCCCAAACTCGCCCCTCGACCACCCCATTCCTTCTCCCCACAGGAGGACACAGCCGTGGCCCTCCAGCGGCTCGTGGAGCTGACAGGCAGCAGGGTGACGTCGGTCAGAAGCCTGCGTGTCCAGTACCGTCTCCTCCGAAAGCTGGGTTCCGGTTCCTACGGCCGAGTGCTCCTAGCCCAGCCTCGCCAAGGGGGTGAGTCCAGCCACCAAGGGGTGGACTTCAAATTCTCCCATCATGAGGCATCTCAGAGATAAGCTAGACCTGATGGGAATTCAAAAAGCGCAGAGCTCCATGATCTTCTGAGAGACATAGGCCACCCAGAGAGAGCAAGTGACTGACTCCAGGTCACACATCACACAGCAAGGCAGGTGAGCCATTTGAACTGGAATTCATGTCACTACCCTGCCCCTTAATGTTACAGGGAATGGAGGACCAGAGAAGGTAAGGCAACATGGCAGTCCAAAGCAGAGCAGGAAAGGACGTAAGGGAAGGACTAGTTCCAACCCACACTTCACAGATGAAGACACTTGATTTTCATATGAGAATTCTCAGGCTCAGAGAGGTCAAGCGGCTTGCCTAAGGTCCCACAGCAGGACCGGGGTGTCCCGGGTTCTCATCTGACCCCATCTTTCTGACAGGTCAAACCGTGGCCCTTAAGCTCCTCCGGCGGGACTCGGTCCTGAGAACAACTTTCCTGAGAGAATTCTGTGTGGGCCGCTGCGTCTCTTCACATCCAGGCCTGCTGCAGACCCTGGGAAGGCCCCTGCAGACACCCCGACATTTTGCCTTTGCCCAGGAGTATGCACCCTGTGGGGATCTCAGTGGAATGCTCCAGGAGAAGGCAAGGCTGGATAGAAGTGCTCAGGTCCCCCTCAGTCCCTAACCCCAAATTAATGCACCATCAAGATCACCCTGAGACCCCCAAATGACCTCCCCATTTCTAAGTCTCAACAGGGTTGCCTGCCTGACCCCAGCGCTGATCCATATGACCATCCAAACACAAGCTTGGAAGGGAGGAGCTGGGTTGGCGTTAAGGTTGGGGATGGATTGTGGCTACTTGGGGGTGGCATATAGACAGATTTGAGGCTCCAGTTGGTGTGGCGATTGGGAGGTGGGAATGGATGGATGGGATGGAAGGGTTTATGATTGGTCATAGGTGGGCCATGGCTGTAGAGGAGGAAAGCAGGGTTGATACTGTCGACAAGGGCAGGTTGGCACAGGCTGTGTCTGCAGGCTGACTTGCATAGGCTTGAAATGGAATTTCCTTTAGAAAGACTACTAGGTCAGGACTGAACCCAGGAGAGTCTAGCCCCTTTTATATTTGGAGATCGGGTGCATGGAGATATTGAGGGGTCAGCACTTCACATTTGAGATAGAGTTAGGGGTAAGCAAAAGGAAGGATGAGAGGAAGGAGGGAGGGGAGATGGGTGGATGCTTGGGTGGAAGGATGATGAGTGGGTAGACGGATGAATGGGTAGGTAGGTGGGTAAGTGGATGGATGAATGCGTACAGGCATGGATGGACAGCTGGATGTTTAGTTTGATGTGTAGATGGATGGATTGATTCATGGATGGATGGATGACTGTGTGGATTCATGGATGGATGGAAAACTGTGGGTGGATTCATGGATAGATGGATGACTGTGTGGATTCATGGATGGATGGAAGACTTGTGGATTCATGGATGGATGGATGACTGTGTGGATTCATGGATGGATGGATGACTGTGTGGATTCATGGATGGATGGATGACTGTGTGGATTCATGGATGGATGGAAAACTGTGGATTCATGGATAGATGGATGACTGTGTGGATTCATGGATGGATGGAAGACTGTGTGGATTCATGGATGGATGGAATGACTGTGTGGATTCATGCATGGATGGATGACTGTGTGGATTCATGGATGGATGGATGACTGTGTGGATTTATGGATGGATGGATGACTGTGTGGATTTATGGATGGATGGATGACTGTGTGGATTCATGGATGGATGGATGACTGTGTGGATGCATGGATGGTTGCATGGATGGATGCATGGATGGCCACATGGATAGCTGTACAAATACATAACTGCATGGTTAGTTAGGTATATGGATGGACAGATGAATGCATGCATGTTGTATGGATGAGTAGATGGCTACATGGTTGGCTGCATGACTAACTGGATGGATGGATAGGTGAATCTGAGGCCAGTCTGGTCTACCTGAGACCCTGTGTCAGAGAGAGACAGAGACAGAGACACAGAGAGAGACAGAGACAGAGACACAGAGAGAAGCACAGAGACAGAAACAGAGGAATACGCTCCGATGAGAAGTGGGGTACTGTTGGGAGTCAGTGGAGGGGGCAATAAAGGGTGGCGGATCTGCAGGACTTTGCGTGTTTGTGGAGATATTGGATGGCTTTGGGGGCTCTGGATTCTGGACCTTCAAACGTCAAGCGTCAGAATCCTTAGGAATCAAGAGCTATGTCCAGGATGGTGAAGCGAGAAGACAGCATACCCTTTCCCTTTCTCCCCGACCTCAGGGCCTCCCAGAGCTGATGGTGAAGCGGGTAGTGGCCCAGCTGGCTGGAGCCCTGGACTTCCTCCACGGCCGGGGGCTAGTGCACGCAGATGTCAAGCCGGACAACGTGCTGGTCTTCGATCCTGACTGCAACAGAGTAGCCCTAGGTGACTTGGGTTTGACCCGACCCGAGGGCAGCCCGACCCCTGCCCCACCAGTACCTCTGCCCACGGCACCACCTGAACTCTGCCTCCTGCTGCCGCCGAACACCCTGCCCTTGAGGCCAGCTGTGGACTCCTGGGCCCTGGGCGTGCTTCTCTTCTGTGCTGCCACAGCCTGCTTCCCTTGGGATGTAGCATTGGCCCCTGATCCTGAGTTCGAGGCGTTTGCCGGTTGGATGACCACTAAGCCCCAGCCCCCTCGGCCACCGGCACCCTGGGACCAGTTTGCACCCCCAGCTCTGACCTTGCTCCAGGGACTTCTGGATCTGGATCCTGAGACTAGGAGCCCTCCACTGGCTGTCCTGGATGTTCTAGGGGATGACTGGGGGCTGCAGGGGAGTGGAGAGGGATCTGGGAGCTTAGGCGGTGTGTCCTATGAAGATGAGGAGGAAGAAGAGGGAGGATCGAGTTTGGAGGAGTGGACAGAGGAGGAGGAAGATGAAATTAAAGACGATGGGAGGGTGGGGACAGGCAATAGGGGTTCCTGACCAGGTGACTGAGAGAGGTGGTCAGAACCTTGGCTAGAGTGTCCTGAGCCAGCCCTCGAGGCCACCTGGGAAAGGCAACAACCGTTACCAGAAGACAGGGAACACACTTCACTTTTGCCTGATGAAGGCTGGACTTGGAAGTGTAACCCCTCATCTGCAGTACGCACGCACGCGCACGCGCGCGCGCGCGCACACACACACACACACACACACACACACACACACACACAACTGAGGACTCTGGGTCCGGATTGTGTGCCGCTGTTGCAGCCTCCCACTCCTTCCCCCCATCTCTCTTTTTGTCTTCTTCCTTCATTCTGTCCCATCTTGCTCCCCCTCCTCCTCCCCTTCCCCCTCTCTTCTCCTCTCCTCAACCTTTCCTTCTCCCTGCTCCTCCTTCTCATCCTGATTTTCCTTCCAAAACAGTCTCGTGTATCCCAAACTGGCCTCAAACCCACTGTGCAGATAGACGACCTTGAACTTCTGATCCTCCTGCCTCTGCCTCCTCAGTGCTGGGATTACAGGCGTGCATCTCCACATTGTCTTTGGGTTCTGGGTAGAGACGGGACCCCAGGCTTCCTGCACGCTAGGGCAGGCCCCCTATCAACTGAACCTCATCCCCTGACCCTGAGCACCGTCCCGATGAAAGTTTCTGTTCCTCCTACAGCTGTATTTCTGTATCTCTGAAACACTGACTGCTTATCATGAATTCTGATGGGACCACTCTTCTCCTCTAAGACCCTGGGTGGCTCCCACCAACTGAGGCACAAAACCTGAACATATAGGATCCGATATTATGTTGATGTAGTGTTTCCTGGGCTCCGTGCTGGTTCCGTTGTGGGAATCATTTATGTATTCTGAAGTTACACACACACACACACACACACACACACACACACACACACGTCACTGCCGACAGGCACTCACACACCTTAGATGCTCCACCAGGCACACTTTGCTCCCATCTTGGCCTACAGAAACTGGTCCCCATCCCTGGAGTCCTCCAAGCCATCTGTGTCTGTTCTTCCTCTCCTTATCACCAACTGCTGCGATGTGCTTGTGTTTTGTTTTTTTCTCATTTCTAAACCCTTCCATTTTCTGTTTCCACAAAGCCCCAAGTAATCTATCTGGCTCCAAATATCCCAGCTCCATCTTTCTTCAAGGACCCATCAATCACGAGAGCCAGGGCTGGTTCCAAGGGTCTTCCTCTCTCTCAAGCCGCACACAGGCTCCAGCTCATTGTGCCTCACGTCCCCAGCACCCAGCAGAGGGGCAGGAACTACAAACATCACTGGAATTTATACTTTAAAAAACATCAAGTGCCGGGCGGTGGTGGCGCACGCCTTTAATCCCAGCACTCGGGAGGCAGAGCCAGGCGGATCTCTGTGAGTTCGAGGCCAGCCTGGTCTCCAAAGCGAGTTCCAGGAAAGGCGCAAAGCTACACAGAGAAACCCTGTCTCGAAAAACCAAAAAAAAAAAAAAAACAAAACAAAACAAAAAAAAAAAAACCATCAAGTTCTCGTGTATGCCAGGATGTCATCTCACTATGGAATGGAGGATAACCTTGATTACCCTCCTTGAACTTTTGATCCCCCTGCCCCCACGCCCAAGTGCTGAAATTGCAGACCTGTGCCACCATGGCGATTTACACAGCGCGCTGGAGATTTGAGCCACCAGAGTTTGGTGCAGGTCGAACAAACGCTGCAAACAGAGCTACATGCCCCAAGCCAGAATCTACACCTTTTAGATTTCAAAGTGAGTTCCCTAAATGCGCCATGGTGCCCCGGATTGGACTTGGGAACAGGAAAAGGACCTTGAAGGCAACAAGGGTAGACAGGACAACTGTTGTTGAGAGCGTTGCTAACTCAGTGTTAAATGTTGGGTGGGATGCTGACCTCGGGGGGAGAGCGGGGGAGAGGTCCAAGGGACCTTTGCAACTGTTTTTGTAAAACTCAAAATACTTACAAAATAAAAAGTGTCTTTGGACAATGAAAGGAACCCACATCCTCAGTGCTTGAAACCCAACAGACAGTGCAGCTGTCCCGGAGGAAGGGGAAAGTCACTCCTGAGCCCCAGCTGCCCCACCACCTGTTTCTGGCCCCTGCTCTGAGGTCATTTCTCATGACATCATTTTAGAATCCTGTCTCATTTTGTCCCTAAACAGGACCCTAGTGTCTGGGGCTCCTGGACACACCTCCGGGAAGATTTGTGTCCGCCAACAGGGCAGCAGAAGCTGGGGAGCCGACCAAATGGGGCCAGAATAAAGGAGAGATGAGACCGCCTGAGAGAGGAGGCTACAGTCTGCATCCCTAGATCTGAAGGAAGAGGGCTGGGATCCGATCCCTGGGTCAGAGAGAAGAGGTCTCGGACCTAGTCTCTTGGATCGGAGAAAGGAGCGCTGGATCCCTGGGTTTGAGGAAGGCAGTTTAGTCCCGGGCTTCTGGGCCTGAGGGAGGATGGCTGGGGTCCTGGACCTTGGGTCTGAGGGTTAATGGATGGGGCCTGGACTCCTGAGTCTGAGGAAGAAGGATTAGGGTCTGAACCCTGAATCTGAGGGAAGAGGGCTGGGGTCTAGAGTCCTGACCTGAGAGAGGAAGGCTGCCCCGACCCTTGGATCTGAGGGATGAGGGCTAAGGGCTTGGATATGAGAAAGGGTGGTACCTAGACCTCGATGTCGGATAGGTGGGCTGCTTTCTAGAATCCTCCACTGAGGAAGGAAGGCTAGAGCGTGGACCCTGAACGTGAGGGAGGAGGGGAGTCTGGACTTCTGCGTCTGAGGGAGGAAGGCTACCGGGACTCTTGGGTCCCGGGGAGGAGAGCTGAGCACACACCCGCGCCCCCAAATCTGGGGCCTTTGTTCACCCACAGTCAGTACTAGGATTCAACACACGGTGTCGCTCTGCCCCCAGTGGGGGCAGAAGGGGCGGGGCAGAGGGTGGGGCTTTACGACCCCCCAAGGTGGGGGGCGGGACTTGCTCCTGGGCAAGCCGGTGCTGGCAGGAGCCCCGAAGTGCAGGGCGCTAACCGCAGTAGGCAGAAAGGGGATCAGACAAGCCTTGAAGAAGGTGAGGTCTGGAGCTCTCAGCCCAGGTCAGAAGTAGGGCAAGGTTAACCGGCTTGAGGTCGGCTGCAGCTGAACTAGGAAAACAGGGGGTAAGAGCCCTGGACCCTCAACAGGACAGGGAAGATCTGGAAGCCATCGAGTGCTTGAGTGTTGGGGCCAGGGTCCAAGCCCCCAAGTTGTGTGAGTCATAGACGTTCCCGGGCAGTAATAAGTTATGGTTTGGACCCCTAGGTCTGGGGGAGGAGGGCTGAGGGCTGGACCCCTGGGCCTGAGGGAGGAGGGCTGGAGTCAGGGACCCTGGATCTGAGGGTAGATGGGTGGGATCTGAACTCCTGAGTCTGAGGAAGGAGGTCTGACCCTTAATGTGAAGGAGGAAGGCTGGGGTCTATATTTCTAGATATTGGGAGGGGAACTGGGGTCTGGAGCCCTGGGTCTAGGGAGGAGCCGCTGAGCTGTGAGACTTGGACCACAAAATGATTGAGGGCTGAAGGATTGGGGACCGGTCCAAGCGACAGCTTCCGGCAGGACCCTGATGTCTCAAGCTGCGTAGAGCCCCACCCTTCCCTGGAGGCAGAGAGCACCTGTTTGCTCTTTGGAGGGAGCTGCTCATCCACTCTGGGCCCAAGTCTGTTTGCTTTGGAAACAAGATGGGGGGGTTGTCTCAATGGCTTGGTTCATCTTTCACTCTCAGGCCACCAGGTGGCAGTGGGAATGGGGGGGGCATCTGACCTCTCAATTGACCTCACCTCACACCACTGACTGTTTTCCACTCCTCGGGGTCCTCTGACAGAATGGAAGTAAGTCATAATGAGAACTGGCAATCAGTGCAGGTCCAGACTTCTTCACACCCCAGCCCTCTTCACTCAGATCCATGGGTCCAGACCCCAGCCCTCCTCCCTCAGATCTAGGAGTCCAGACCCCAGCCTTCCTCTCTCAGACCCAGGGGTCTGGTTACCATGCTCTCCCTCCACTGGGCATAGGCTAGTGACCTCTGAGTCCTGGGTCACTTTCCTCATCTATCTTGCAGAAATGCCGGGCAAGCAGTCAGAGGACGGGGTGATGGAAGTGGCAGCTGTGGAAGATGGAGGTGACGAAGGCCTGGGGGGCCTCACCGTAGAGGAGCTGGAGCAGGGCCAGGAGACTGCGCTGGCCTTGGAGGACATGATGGCTCTGAGCGCCCAGACCCTGGTCCGCACTGAGGTGGAGGAGTTGTACGAGGAAGTGCGTCCCTTGGGCCAGGGCCGGTTCGGTCGTGTCCTGCTGGTTACTCACCGGCAGAAAGGTACCGGATCCTGGGCCCGGGAATGCCATAGGGTACATCTGAGCAAGATTTCAGACGAGCTAGCCAAGACTTGGGAGTCTTATAAACGTCAGTCAGGTCTTTCTAAGCTGTGTGTTTTTAGGGGGTTCCTTTAACCCAGCTCTCTCCTTTGAAGAGATGAGAAGCCCGGCATTATGTTGTATGCCTGCATAATCTCATCACTCAGGCCGAGGCGGGGAGGTTGCTATGAATCTGAAGCTGGTCTAAGATTTACATAGTGAGTTCCAGGTTAGCCAGGCTGAGTAGCAAGATAACTGTCTCAGACAAACAAAGCCGGACACAGTGGCTGATACGCGTAACCCCGGTGTCTCTGAGATAGAATCCCTGGAGGTAGAGGCGGGAGGATCGGGAGTTTGAAGTCATCCTATGATATATACAGAGTTTCAGGCCAGCCTGGGCTACATTAGAGGCTGTTTCAAAAATAGAAAGCCATCAGGATGTCTCAGCAGCTAAAGGCGCTTGCCACAAAGTCTGATGGCATGAGTTCAATTCCCCAGATCCTACCTACCTGGTGCAAGGAAAGAACTGATTGCCCCAGGGTGTCCTCCGATCTCCACAATCCTCCTCCCAACAAGCACACAATCAACCAGTGTAAAATTAAAAAGAAAGGAGAAAAGAGAAACCTGTTTGTACTTAAAACTAACAAACAAACAAACACAAAAACCTAATGATTTTCTATCGTACAGCCATGTCCACTTATCTGCACTTCCTGGGATGTTTGAAACTGCATGATTTGTGTCTACTATAACATCTCCCTCTCCTTACCTCTTTCTTCTTAAACTTTTATTAACAATTTTTTTAGTTATGTGCATATGGCAGTGGGGGGAGCAACTGTGCACATGAGTACAGTGTCCTGAGAGGCCAGAGAGGCGAAAGGTCCCCTGAAGCTGGAGTTACAGGTGGTTGGTTGTGAGCTGCTGGGATTTGAACTCTGGTCCTCTGGAAGAGTAACAATTATTGTTTGTCTGTCCTAACCTTTTCTTCCTTCCCTCCCTCCCTCCCCCCCGCTTCTCTCTCTCTCTCTCTCTCTCTCTCTCTCTCTCTCTCTCTCTCTCTCTCTCTCTCTCTCTCTCTCTGTTTTTTGAGACAGGGTTTCTCTGTGTAGCCCTGGTCTCCTGGATCTCACTCTGTAGCCCAGCTGACCTCGAATTCACAGAGAATCCACATGTCTCTGCCTCCCGAGTGCTGGGATTAAAAGCATATGCCACCACCACCCGGCTCATTTTTTAATTTTATGTGTATGGGTATTTTGCCTGTATGCATGTCTATGCACCACTTGCATGCAGTACCCCCAGAGGCCAGAAGAGGGCATCCGATTCTCTAAAACTGGAGATACAGATCATTATTTAGCAGCCATGTTGGGTGCTGGGAATCAAACCTGAGTCCTCTGGAACACCCAGTGTTCTCCACCCCTGAACCATCTCTCCAACTTTCCTTTTTTTTCCTTCCTTCCTTCCTTCCCCTCTTCCCTCCTTCCTTCCTTTTTTTCTTCTTTCCTTCCTCTCTTCCTTCCTTTCTCTCTTTCAGACAGGGTCCTATGCTGCCCACAATGGCCTCAGACTTGCTATATATCTGAGGCTAGCTTAGAACTCCTGATCCTCCTGCCTCGACCTCCACTGAGTGTTGGGATTACGGGAGTGCACCTCCAGGCCCAGTTTATGTCGTTTGAGGGATGGAACCAGAGGTTTCATGTATCCTGGGCATGCCATCTAACAAGTGAATGATGTCTTTAGATCATGAGTTCTCAACCCATGGGTCATGACCCCTTTAGAGACAATCTTTTCAAGGGGTCACCTAAGGGATCATCAAAAAGCACAGATATTACTGAGCAGTGGTGGTGCACGCCTTTAATCTCAGCACTGGGGAGGCAGAGGCAGGAGGATCTCTGTGAGTTCAAGGCCAGCCTGGTCTACAGCGTGAGTTCCAGGACAAGCACCAAAACTACACAGAGAAACCCTGTCTCGAAGAAAACAACAAAACAAAACCACAGATATTTACATTACAATTCATAACAGTAGCAAAATTACAGTTACGAAGTAGCAATGAAAATAATTTTATGGTGGAGGGGGGTCGCAGCATTAGGAAGGTTGAGAACCACTGATTTAAAGAAATAAAATGAGGCTATTTGTGTGGACACCAATACAATCTGCCTGGTATCCTTCAAAGAAGAGAGTAGGAGTCAGGACTTTGTGAGGACTCAGCTTGAAGACAGCCATCTATCTGCAAGCCAAGACACCCTGTCTCAGAAAGGAGAGAGACAGAGAAGCGGGTGGGCAGGGCTGAGGATGTAGCTCAGTGGTATGAATGCTTGCCTGGTGTCTGCGAGGCCCTACGTTCAATACCCGGTTCTGGACAAAACTAAAACACTTCATCAAATTTCGACATCCTGCTGGGCAAACACCTGTGATTCCAGCACTCAGGGAGCAGAGGGAAGAGTGCTCAGTGGCCTCACCCACAGGCCGCTGAGATGCCTCGGAGGGTGAAGGCATTGCCTCGGAGGTTGTACCGCCTGAGTTGGATCCCTGGAACCCACATAAAGGTGTAAGGACCAAACTGACTCCACAGAGTTGTCCTGTGGTCCTACATGTTCACCATGTCAATATTCATTGATAGTATCTAACCATCTCTCTCCCCACCCTCTCTCTCTGAAGGCTAGGGGCTAAAGAGAAGGCTCCATAGTTAAAAAGCATTTTTTCCTTTTGCAGGGAAAAAAAAAACACGTGAATCCAATTCCATAGGCTCCGATGCCTCCTGACATCTGTGGGCACCAGGCATGCACATCCGTACACGTAGACAGACACTTCATACACATAAAATAAAAACTGAAAACAAAGAAGGAGAGGGTGGAGAGATGTCTCTGAGACGGCTCTGCATTTAAGAGTGCTTCTTGTGCTGGGGGGACGGGGTGCACGCCTTTAATCCCAGCACTTGAAGGCAGATCTCTGTGTTCGAGACCAGTCTGGGCTACAGAGCAAGTTCCACGACAGCCAGGGCTGTTACACAGAGAAACCCTTTCTTTCTTTCTTTCTTTCTTTCTTTCTTTCTTTCTTTCTTTCTTTCTTTCTTTCTTTCTTTCTTTCTTTCTTTCTTCCTTCCTTCCTTCCTTCCTTCCTTCCTTTCTTTTTTTCTTTCCTTCTTTTTTCTTTCTTTCTTTCTTTTTTTTTTTTAAAGATTTATTTATCGTGTATACAGTGTTCTGTCTGCATGTATGCCTGCAGGCCAGAAGAGGGCACCAGATCTCGTTACAGATGGCTGTGAGCCACCATGTGGTTACTGGGGATTGAACTCAGGACCTCAGGAAGAGCAGCCAGTGCTCTTAACCTCTGAGCCATCTCTCCAGCCTGAGAAACCCTTTCTTGAAAAGAAAAAAAAAAAGTACTTCTTGCCCTTCCAGAGGACTTGAGTTCAGTTCCTAGTATCAGGCAACTCACAACCACCTGTGACTCCAGTTTCAGGGAATCTAACACCTTCTTCTTTAGGCATCCCACACACACAGCACATGCTCACACACACACATAAAATGCATGAATAAATACGAAAGACCACTCATATTTTTTTTTTTTTTTTTTTTTTTTTTTGGTTTTTCGAGACAGGGTTTCTCTGTGTAGCTTTGCGCCTTTCCTGGAACTCGCTTTGGAGACCAGGCTGGCCTCGAACTCACAGAGATCCGCCTGGCTCTGCCTCCCAAGTGCTGGGATTAAAGGCGTGCGCCACCACCGCCCGGCGAGACCACTCATATTTGAGGCCAGTGTGGTTAATGGAGTTCCAGGGTAGGTGGGATTACCCAGAGAGATCTTGTCTCAAAAACTAAAAAGGAAGGAAGAAAGGAACTTTATCTTTGAATACAGCCTCATTCGCCAGGGTGGGGGTAGGGGGTGGGATCCTAGGAATTTGTCTTCCATTGTTTGAATTTGAGGAAATGCGATTTGGCCCATAACAGAGAGAGAGGGAAACAGAATGAGAGATCTGTGGCGGGTCTGTTCAGAGCATGGAGACATGAACAACAGCAGGGGAACTGAGGCACTGTTGGTGAGGCCTCAACTGCTTGGTTTCATTGGACATATGAGTTACACCCCTGAGTGCCCAGCCTCACGCTAGATCAGTGGTTCTCAACCTGTGGGTCGCGACCCTTGGGGGCAAACGACCCTTTCACAGGGGTCACCTAAGACCCATCAGAAAACACAGATATGTACATGACGATTCATAACAGCATCAAAATTACAGTTATGAAGTAACGACAAAAATAATTTTATGGTTGGGGGGTCAGCACACATGAGGAACCGTATTAGAGGGTCGTGGCATTGGGAAGGTTGAGAACCGCTGTGCGAGACGATGCCCCAGGTGTCAAGATGGAGGCGGTGCTGAGCTGTTCAGAGTACAGTGGGAAGTGAGCAGAGACCTTCAGAACACTAGGTGAGATGGGGGCTGTAGCTCAGGGACAGGGCACGACTCACCTCGTATGCCTGAGGCCCCACTTCAGTCCACACACACACACACACACACACACACACACACACACACACACACCACACACACACACACCACCACACACACACACACCACACACACACACACACACCACACACACACACACACCACACACACACACCACACACACACACACGCACACACCACACACACCACACACACACACACACCACACACACACACCACACACACACACACAACACACACACACACACACACACCACACACACACACCACACACACCACACACACACACACCACACACACCACACACACACAACACATACACACACACACACACACCACACACACCACACACACACACCACACACACACACACACACACACACACACACACACACATACACACACACACACACGAAGCCGAGACAGCTGGAGAAGACACTGCCACTTCAGGCTGGAGTGTGTGGAGTTGAACGGCGGGTGTTTAAAGAGGCAGCCGTTCATGTCATTCAGCCATACGGGAGGCTGAGGAAGTAGGACGGCCATTTCAAGGTCTGTCTGAGGCTGCAGGATTCATGCGAGGCCCCTGAGAAAACTTAGTGAAAACTTGTATCAAAGCAAAAAGTAAAGAGAAGTCTGAGGATTTGGCTCAGGGCTCCAGTACTTGCCTAGACTGTACCAGTGAGAGGCCGGGGACGTGGCCCAGGGACAAGCGGTTGACCCAGAATCCATCAGTGAGCAGGGAAAGACATCATTCTTCCATAGAGCCCCTGCCTAGAATCCCCCAGTGAGGGGCTGGAGTGTGGCTCAGTGGTGGAGCCCCTGCCTAGAATCCCCCCAGTGAGGGGCTGGGGGTGTGGCTCAGTGGTAGAGCCCCTGCCTAGAATCCCCCAGTGAGGGGCTGGGGGTGTGGCTCAGTGGTAGAGCCCCTGCCTAGAATCCCCCAGTGAGGGGCTGGGGTGTGGCTCAGTGGTCGAGCCCCTGCCTAGAATCCCCCAGTGAGGGGCTGGGGGTGTGGCTCAGTGGTAGAGCCCCTGCCTAGAATCCCCCAGTGAGGGGCTGGGGTGTGGCTCAGTGGTCGAGCCCTTGCCCAGCATGCCCGAGGCCCTAGGATCAATCCTCAGCCATACAAAAAAGAGAAAGTTGGCAGCCTGCCTGAATCACACAACAACACAACCCCGTGGTTGTGATAGTTCTTAAGATAAGCTTAAGAAATCATAGCTGATGGCTAGAAGCTTGACACTAAAAGTTTCTGCCTTGGAGGGAGAATCTAGGATGTTGTTTCTCCATGGACTAGGATCATGACTCCTTAACTGGACCTGTTACCCTGCACTCTGTATAGTTTGCCCAGGTGCCTCAAACATGTCTTTGTGCCAGCCATGGTGGGCCATACCTACACTCGCACCTGTGAGACAGGAAGATCAGGAGTTTAGCGTCATCCCCAGCTACAGAGGGAGCCAGAAGCCAGGCTGGAATACGTGAGACCTTACCTCAGAAAAAGAAAAAAAATCCTCCCACGGTCTGCACGGGACCAACCTAGGCCCTCTACATATGTTTGACACTTGTGTAGCTTGGTCTATTTGTGGGATTCCTAGCAGTGGGGTCAGGACTGTCCCTAATGCTTGAGCTGGCTTTCAGGAGCCTATTTCTTTCTTTCTTGTTTGCTTGTTTGTTTGTTGTTATTGTTGTTGTTGTTTTGAGACAGGGTTTCTCTGTGTAGCTCTGGCTGTCCTGGAACTTGCTCTGTAGACCAGACTGGCCTTGAACTCACTGAGATCCCCCTGTCTCTGCCTCCCAAGTGCTAAGATTAAAGATATGCACCACCTCTGGCCAGCTTTCAGGAACCCATTCCTCATACTGGGTTGCCTTGCCCAGTCTTATACAAGGGGAGGAGCTCAGTCCTACCTCAAGTTGATGTGCCATGTCTTGTTGACATCCATGGGAGGCCTGCCCCTTTCTGAACAGAAACAGAGAAGGGGTGGATGTGGGCAGTGGGGGTGCAGAGAGGAGGCCAGGAGAGGGAACAGGAAGAGAGGAGGGAGGGGAAACTCCCTTCAGGGTGTAAAATAAACGAATGAAATTTAATTAATTAAAAAAATCCTCCTACATGGGATTGTCATCGTGGGGAGTTAAACAGTCACTGGAGGTTCCAGGTTCGGTTTTAATTCACCCTGAGAACAGAAATGTGGAGTGGACATGGGTGGACGTGGGTGGACGTGGGTGGACGTGGGTGCCGCATGCTACCGTTAGTAGCAGCAGAGCCTGGTGCTGTTAGAGTAGCTGGTAGGGAGGCAGAGATTGGGGGACAAGGAGGCGTTTGGGAAACAGATTCCCTCCTGAAGCCTAGGAAGAGGATCAAGAGAGCTGGCCTAGTGACCCCAAACTCTTACCCACCTCTGACATCCATCCCTGTTCCATCTGACCCCCATCTCCAGGAACACCCCTGGCACTGAAGCAGCTCCCCAAGACCTCGACTTCCCTCCGTAGCTTCCTGTATGAGTTCTGCGTGGGCCTCTCACTTGGCACGCACCCGGCCATCGTGGCAGCCTACGGCATTGGCATTGAGTCAGCCAATTCCTACAGCTTCCTGACGGAGCCTGTTCTCCACGGGGACCTCATCACCTTCATCCAGCCCAAGGTGAGCAGGTCGGCCCCTGGGTATGCCTTTGTGAGCCTTACCAGGGTTTGTGGGAAGTCAAGGAACCCCAAGAATCACACTCACTGTGTTAGGCCACCCTGGCCCCCATCTAACCCCAATTTCTATAATTGTTGGGTCACTTTAGCGTTTCTTGACTGTGTCCTGTTGGGATTAACCAACCCTCACAAGCTCAGAGTCTGCCCTGCTGGAGTTAACAGGCTTCATGGGCTCACTGGGACCCATCTGGGGGTCTGTCAGTTCGCAGTAGGCCTCACAGATCTCTCCAGGTCACACCAGAGGCTCACGCTAGGCCTCAGCACACTTGCAAACTCATGGGACTTGTAGGCTCCTACTAGGCCTCGGAGGCCTCACAGGCTCAGACTCATGCTAGTCCCCCTCATCCCCCCACCAATCGGCCCCACAATCTCACAGAACTCAGGCTCAACGAGGCCTTGGAGCTCATATTAGGACTCACAGCTCACACTAGGTCTCATAGGACTCCTAAGACCCACAGGTTCAGGTAGGCCTTACCAGCTCACACTAGACCTGACATCAGCCTTGCACTGGGCCTCAGAGACCTCACAGGTTCCACAGGTCTAACAGGTTCAGCTGGGCCTCCTAGGCCTTACAGGCTCACACTGGACCTCATAGGTATCACAGGTTCACAACCCTTAGAGACACATGCCACGCTTCACACTAACAAGATCACACCGGGCCTCACAGATCTCTCAAAGCTCACAGGCCTCACTGGCATGACCTATGAGCCTTCTCAGCTTTTCCAGGAGCTGTGCCTGGGGTTGAAAAGAAGCCCTACCTCTTCAGCTTCCCTCAGCAGCTAGGGGAGCAGGGGACCTTCATTATCTTTCACCCCTGCAGGTGGGTCTTCCCCAGCCCGCAGTCCAGCGCTGTGCAGCCCAGCTGGCCTCAGCTTTGGAGCACATTCACTCCCATGGCCTGGTATACCGGGACTTGAAGCCAGAGAATGTGCTGGTGTGTGACCCAGACTGCCATCGCATCAAGCTGACGGACTTTGGCCACACCCGGCCCAGAGGTACCCTGCTCCGACTCACTGGGCCACCGATCCCCTACACGGCCCCTGAGCTGTGTGCTCCACCACCCTTCCCCGAGGGACTACCCATCCAACCTGCCCTGGATGCCTGGGCTCTGGGAGTCCTGGTCTTCTGCCTCCTTACCGGCTACTTCCCCTGGGACCAGCCCCTGGTGGAGGCTGACCCTTTCTTCGAGGACTTCCTTATCTGGCAGGCCTCCGGCCAGCCCCAAGACCGGCCACAGCCCTGGTATGGCCTATCCCCTGCGGCAGACACTCTCCTGTGGGGGCTGCTAGACCCTCACCCCAGGAAGAGGAACCCTGTGAGCTCCATCAAGGGCTACCTAGGCCAACCCTGGAAGCAGAGGGAGGGGGAGGCTGAGGAACTGGCAAAGGAGCTGAGGGAAGATGGGTAGTTAGGAGACCGCGCGGGCTATAAAGGGGGAGCAGCCTGCATGCCGAGACCCGCTTTGCCCGTGCTGCCTGGCTGCGGCCTCCTCTCCATTTCCAATCTCTCCCCTACCTGTCCTGTGTGTAGTCTGCATCCCTCCTTTATGCTCTGTGCGTGCATGCCTGCGTGCGTGCACACGTGTGTGTCGTGTGAAAGTCAGAGGACTTTCGGGAGCCAGTTCTCTCCTTCCACCTTGGGGCCCAGCGATGGAACTGAATTCTTTGTCCGTCTTCATGCACCTTTACCTACGGGAGCCGTCAGGCTGTCTCTGGTCTTGAACTCTGGATCCTCTTGCCCCAGAATCCTGAGTCCTGGGGATAACAGGCATGCACCACGCTCAGCTCTCCCGCATAGCTGTGCACGGTCCCACCCACCTCAGGTAGCGCCCCCCCCCCCCCCCGCTCCCCCCCACAAGCCCCAGGTAAGACAGCCACCTGCCCTGGACTTCACAATCCCCGGCCCCTCCTCTACTGTGTGTTCCTTTTATTTACTTATTTGGTGTGCGCCGGACCTCTTTTAACTGTGCGCCCTCCCAGAGGGTGGGGTCTTAGCTCCCGGAGGACTGACCCTGCATCCCCAGAGTAGAGCCCCGCCTACAGCAAGCAGTCAAATCAGTAGACACATCTGATCACCGGGGCTCCCCACTGGGGGCCTCCCCGACTCTTTACCACTGTCTTCCTGGCTTCGTCACCCCGTCTTCTCTCATGGGGCTTCACAGCACTCCGATCTGCTCCAGCTTTTTCTCCCACCCACCTGCATGCCGGGACATCCTCCCCCACGCGGCCGCGGCCGCGGCCGCCGCCATCTGAGATACTTTATGTACTCTTGCCTCAGCTGTCCTCTGCAAATAAAGTCCCCCTGGCAACTGGATCTTGTGCTGTGCCTCTGTCCACTTAGGGAAGAGATGAGTGTTCTTGGGCAGTGGGTGAGACAGAGACAGAGAGGTCGTAGGGCCAAGTGGTGCTTGGGTAAGGACTCCCATTAGGTCACTCTTCCATGGAGCCTGTGACGGCAGGTGTCTAAAGAGGGTCCGGGTAGCTACTTAGTTTTTAATTTTAAGAAAGAATTCATCATTACATGCTCACACCACAGCATGCCTGTAGAGATCGGGGGACACTTTGCAGAAGTGGGTTCTGTCATGGTGACAGGCGTTAGTGGCGGGGCCCTTCACCTCCTGAGACATCTCACCTGCCCAGTTTTTGAATGTTTGTTTTGTTTTAGTTTTTATAACGCAGTTTCGCTATGTAGCCCTGGTAGTCCTGGAACTCACTCTGTAGACCAGGCTAGCCTCAAATGCACAGAGATCCACCTGCCTCTGCCTCCCAAGTGCTGGGATTAAAGGCGTGCACCGCCACCACTGAGCTTTTTTTTTCTTTTTTTCTTTTTTTTGACATGGTCATACATAGGCCAAGCTGCCCTAGAACTCACCATGCAGCTGAGGATGTCCTTGAACTCCTGATCCTCTTGTCCCTACCTCCTGAGAGATGGAATTACAGGCTTGCACCACTGTGCTGGGTGTATGCAATGCTAGGATTCCAACCCGGGGCTTTATGTGTGCTAAACACACACTACCAACTGAGCCGCATCCCCAGCCCCGTGAGCCATTTATTTCTAAGAATCCTCTCTAGTCTACCCAATCAAAGTCTGTGCGGTAACAATGTCATGAAAAACACGGTCCTGCCTGGGGAGGTGACGCAGTTGGTGAAGCGCTGGCTATGAAAGCGTGGGGACCTGAGTTCACACCGTTTCTAAGAGTATCGTTTAAAAAAAATAAAAATCACTGCCGCGAGGAGGGAGAGACGGGCAGACGTCTGTGGTTCGCTGGCCATCCAACTTTGCGTGTGCATGCTTGTGTAAGACAGCCGGGTAAGGTAGGTCAGACAGGAGCCCTAGCCAGTCCCCAGCCCTGGTCCCCCCACTCCTTCTCACCCCCCCCCCCCAGCCCCTTGCTGGCAGCCACCCCTGTTTGCAAACACGCTCTCTTCCTCTCTGTGCCCTGCTTGGCTGCAGGCCCAGAGCAAGGCTACAACTCAGGGACGGATCAAGTGTCTCTGGCTCCCTAGGCCCCCTGCGCACACCCGAGTGCCCCTGCTGTGGCTACGAGGTGCCGCCTGGTAGGGGGCTGGCAGAGCGTGTGTGCCTGTGCGTGACATGACCTCAAGGACCCTTGGACTCTGGGTTCCAGCCAAAGCAGTAGGGATGGCAGCGGCCATCCTGGGCAGCCAGTGGGGCGCCTCGGAGTAAAGGATCTTTAGAAAGAACCGATGGGGACGGCAAAGGGGGTGAGCTGCGTCAAGACCTCCTGCCACCTCCTCCGTGGATCTAAAATAGCGCGAGCAATTAGGCCAAGAATGTGTCCCATAAAAGCGGGAGGCGCCTGGATGAGGGTGTGAGGGTAACGGGACTGGAGGGGCACAGGGGGTGCCTGTGGGCGTGTTAATTGGTGGTGGCAGCTGAGGATTAGCTGGAAGGTGATAATGACAAGCGTGGACCTCAGCAACAGGGGATGACAGGAAGGGTCCAAGGGTCAGGACAACACTAACAATGCTAACTGCACCATTTCACACCAAGGACACAGGCTCGCACGCTCTCCCTGCTCTCTGACTCCTCTGGGGTCCCTGGGACTTTCCCGACTTCCCTTTGGGGGCTGTGGTGTGGCACAGCAGTCACACACTGGTCAGAGTTCACACACACCTGTTGAGCTGCAGGGGAGTGAGAGAAGGGCGTGGATAAGTGTGAGAGTGTGTGTGCAACCACAGCCGTGCGTGTGTGTGTGTGTGTGTGTGTTTGGTGTGTGCAGCCACAGCCACAAGAGTGTGGATGAAAGTGAGAATGTGTGTGCGTGTGAATGAGCACATAAGAATGTCGTGAGTGTGTGTGCGAGGTGTGACACAGTGAGTGCAAGAGCAAAAGTGATCGCAGGAGCGTGGATGCATGAGTGTGCAAGGTAGATGTGAACATGGGAGTGTGCATGTATGCAGAAGTTACCGTGTGTGAGTGTGAAGGTTAAGTCTGGGAATGTGAATGTGGGTGTGACTATGAGGTTATGATTGTGTGTGCAGGAGTCAGCATCACGAAATGGGTGGGTGTGATACGAAATGCATGCATGAGTTGTGAACAAGTGTGGATATGGGTGCTTGTGAGCATGAGCATGTGGACATGAGTGGACATGAGTGAGTGTAGAGGTGCTAGGACTAGTGTGTCACAAATGTGGCTATGTGAGTGTGCAAGGGTGCAGATGAACACACAAGTGTGAAGTGAATGAGCATGTGGGTGACTGTGATTATGAAGTGTGGCATGTAAGATTGAGTGTACATGTGGACATGATAGTGTTTGTGCATGTGGAAGTGAACATGAGTGTGTGGAAGTGAGTGTGAACACAAACCATGTGGGCAGGTATGAATGTGAGTGTACACAAGTGTAGGAGCAGGAGTGAATGTGAGTACATGGGAGGCTGTTGAAGTGTGAGTGGACATGTGTGGGTGTGGAAGTGATTGCTAGGGCTAATGTGATCATCAGTGTGGTTGTGTGTAAAGGTGGGTGTGAACATGAGTGTGCATATGTACAAGAGTGAACTGGGTGGTGTGAATGAAAATAAATGCAAATATGAAGAGTAGGTGGGAATGAAAAGACTGTTCATGTGTGCAGGAGTGTGAACCTGAGTGTGAGAGTGCACAAGAGTGTGTGATGTGTGTTTGTGTAAGAATGTTCACTGTGTGCAGGAGCCGGAATATGTGTGAACATGAAGCATGTGTGTGATGGTAAGGGCAGGTGTGAACATGAGGTTGACTGTGTGTGCAAGAGTGAACACAGGTGTGTAAAAGTGTGAATATGGTCCATCCAGGTGAGTGTGAATAAAAGTATAGATGCGTGTGGGTGTGAGCATGGGCATATAATGTAAGTGTGTGGGTGTGGAGGTGAGTGCTAGGGTTAGTGTGATCATGAGTATGATCTTGTGTTCAAAAAAGGGTGTGAACATGAGTGTGCGCATGAGCAGGTGTGTGAATATGAAATGTGGGGTGCACGTGAAGATGTGTGTTTGTATGTGTGTGAGTGTAAATGAGCATGGACATGAGTATGTTGCACAAATGTGTTCATGCAAGAGTGCATGCTGTGTGTGCAGGATCACAAATGTGTGTGTGAACATGAGGTGTGAGGCTGTGGGGTTAGGTATGAATGCGAGTGTGCAGGTGTGTCCACAGGTGTCAACATGAGTGCAGGTACACGGGAGTGAGTGTGAGCTTGAGTGTGTGAGAGTTTATGAGTGTGGGCACAAATGTGTGGTTACATATAACATGCTAGTGTGGTATGTATAAGAGTTACAAATGTGAGCCGGGCGGTGGTGGCGCACGCCTTTAATCCCAGCACTCGGGAGGCAGAGCCAGGCGGATCTCTGTGAGTTCGAGGCCAGCCTGGGCTACCAAGTGAGTCCCAGGAAAGGCGCAAAGCTACACAGAGAAACCCTGTCTCGAAAAACCAACAACAAAAAAAAAGAGTTACAAATGTGAGGAGCAGCTGAGCAAGCCAAGGTGCGAACAGGAGCGTGGGTGTGCAAGGGTGTGTGAAGATGGGGATAAGTGGGCGTGAGAGAGCTCAGGTGGGGGGGGGATGGGAGGAAGTGTGAGGTGCAGATGAAAGCGGTTGTGTCTCTGAGTTGTGGCACCTGATCGGTGAAGACCGAAAGCCAAGCAAGGAACACTGCAGACCCGTGAGCACAGCCACCTCCGTTAGGGACAGACAGGCGAGGGCGTGACAAGCGGCCCCTCACACACGTGAGCAGGCTTTTCACCGTCATCGGGGCCAGGGAGAGGGATCAGTGAGGAAAGGCGCTTGCCGCCAAGCCCGATGGCTGAGTTCCGTCCCGGGTCCCACATGGTGGAAGGAGAGAACAGACGCCTGCAAGTCGTGCTCTGACCTCTACACTTGCGTGCGTGGTGGCGTGTGTGTCCCCTCCCCCACATACACACACATCATAGATGTAACTTCCACCGACGAGCTCCACCAGGCCCAGCAATTCCACTCCTAGATTTACACCCGGGACAGGACACAGGGCCACACAAGAGTACGGACAGACGGCTCAGCCAGCGTGAGTCCTGAGTTCAGACACCCAGTACTCACACGAACAGCGTGTGCAGCCAGAGTGCGCCTGCAATTCCAGGGCTAGGCAGGTGTGGACAGGGAGACCCCCTAGCCAGGGACGAGGCCTGAGCATTCAGCCCTCAGTTGGACATCTAAACCACCCTAGACCCAGGCAGCGTGAAGAAGAAAGAAAGTAAGAGCCGGAGGGTGGGGAGTAGCGCTGTGAACGGCTGCCCTCCAGATGTGCCGTGGCCGCTGCACACCGCCGCTGTGGTTATCTGCACGAGGTTAGGCCCACACTCTGATGGATGGGGGAGAGGCTCATGGGCCCCGGCCCGCTCCTCTCTGAGTGACTAGTGGTAGTTAATTGTGGAGGGGAGGGAGGAGGTGAAGTATTTTCTTCAGTAGCGTAGTGACTGATAACTGCCCACGCTCAGTGGGGAAACAAAAAATAAACATGAAAGAAAGAAAATTAGCTGGGAAGAAAGGGTCCAACAGGAGGAGAGGGGCATGAGAGAGAGATGGGATGAAAATGACCAAAATTCATTATAGACATGAATGAAATTGCCAGGGTTTTGTTTTCTCTGTGTATCCCTGGGTGTCCTGGAACTCACAGAGATTCACCTGCCTCTGCCTCTCGAGTGCTGGGATTAAGGCGTGCGCCACCACCGCCGGCAATACTTTTATAATTTTTTTTTTTGATATAGAGTGTTTTGTCTGCACATATGCCTGTATGCCAGAAGAGGGTGCCAGATCATATTTTATGATGGTTGTGAACCACCATGTGGTTGCTGGGAATTGAACTCAGGACCTCCGGAAGAGCAGCCAGTGCTCTTAATTTATTTTCATTTTTATGTACATTGATGTTTTGCCTGCATGTGTTTCTGTATGTGGGTATTGGATCCCCTGGAACAGGAGTTATAGACAGGTGCTGGGAATCAAACCCGAGTCCTCTGGAAGAGCAACCAGAGCTCTTAATCACTGAGTCATCGCGCCAGCCCTGTTTTGTTTTGCTTTAAAGTGGAAAACAACTGCAGAAGACATCTGACATGGACGCCTGGCTTCCGCACATACACACATGTGCTCATACACATGCTCTCACATACAAAGGCTGCACACACGTATACACAGCAACATTACCCAGAGAGTGGAGACAATGCAGACATCAGATGAACCAATGCACGAACACAATGGGACTCACCTGTGTGTGAGATACTATCAGGTCACGATAAAAGAACGAGTCGGGCACACGTCCTGGGTGTCACAGAGGCACCCTGCACCATCAATGCTAAGTCAAAGAAGTCGTCACAGAGGACCACAGATGGCAGCTGCATTCCCAGGAAATATGTAGAACAGACCACCCACAGTCGTAACGGAGCCGGTGGGCCAGGAACCAAGGTGCAGGGGTGGCAGTGACTGCTGAGGGCCATGGATTTCCATTTCAAGGGCAGGGCATGCTCTTAGGTTAGATTTCATAGCCAGGGAGCTGGAAAGGTGGCTCAGCAGTTAAGAGCACTCGCTGATCCTGCAGAGGACCAGGGTTCAGTTCCCCGCGCACGCACACACACACACACGGCAGCTCACAACCACCCATAACTCCTGTTCCAGGGGATGGGATGTCTTATGGCCTCTGTGGGCATCAGACACACCCATAGAGTACAGACATACACGCAGGCAAAACACCCATATACTAGGCGGGCACGCAGGTCTCTGTGAGTTCGAGGCCAGGTTTCTCTCTTTTTTCTTTTTCTGTTTTTTTCTCTTTCTTTTCTTCCTTCCTTCCTTTTTTCCTTCCTTTCTTTTTTTTAGACAAAGTCTCACTATGTAGCCCTAGCTGGCCTCAAACTCACAGAGATCCACCTGCCTCTGCCTCCTAAGTACTGAGATTAAAGGTGTGTGCCACCCCCACCCCCCACCCCCAGCTTTCTTTTCTTTTCTTTTTTTTTTTTTGGTTTTTCGAGACAGGGTTTCTCTGTGTAGCTTTGCGCCTTTCCTGGAACTCACTCTGTAGCCCAGGCTGGCCTCGAACTCACAGAGATCCGCCTGGCTCTGTCTCCCGAGTGCTGGGATTAAAGGCGTGCACCACCACCGCCCGGCCCAGCTTTCTTTTTAATAGCAACTGCCCACTACCCATGCCTCTTGCAGGAAAGAAGGTCAAAATTCACAGCCTAGTGCCTGTGCAGAGATAAAAGGCCCAGTGTTCTTCTCATAGGTAAGTTTTTGCTGTTTGTCTGTCTGTCTGTCTGTTTGAGTCAGTCTCGTGTAAGCCAGACCGACTTCAGACTTCCTGTGTAGCCAAGGATGACCTTCAACTCTTAATCCTCCTGCCTCCATCTCCTTAGTGCCAAAGTTACAGGCACACACCACTACACCCACTTTAGGCAGTGCCGGGGATTGAACCCAGGGCCTTGTGCATGCCAGGCAAGCACTCTACCAACTGAGCTGCAGCCCCAGCCCCGAGTAACAAATTATAACTAGATGTGCTGAGACATAGGCTGTGATTTGACAGGTCTTGGAGGTTTGTTCCTGAGCAACTTCCAGAGAGCCGGATGCTGGGTGCTCCTTGCCATGCTTCAGGGTGTAAGCGATGTGAGGATGTGGTGTTACAGTACAGGTCTAAGTTTTCTCTATCAACCATCATAGGCCAGGTGGATAATGACAGATCCTCATTTGCTTGATGTGTGTGTGTACGGGGTGTGTGTGTGGGGGGGGGGTGGTATGGGGGTGTGGGGGGGTGGTATGGGGGTGTGTGGGGGTGCAGGTCTAATGGAGTTGAGTTTGGAGTTTATCTGCACCCACCGAGCTTGCTCATCCTATGAAGCTACTGTTCTGGGTTGCCGCACGCTGGCAAGCGGACACGGAGCTCAGCTGTCCCCACGGAGGTGTCGAGGGTCAGAGCCAGCAGCGGGTGGGGCTGGCTCCCCATCCTGGCTGTGGGCCCTGGGGCCAGATGTTTGGGCTTAGCTGCCGGGCCAAACAGGGATAGAATGACTGAGTAATTAGGTACCCGGTTGTTTGGGGCTGGCAGAAGGTAACGGGGGTGGAGAGACCTCGGGCTAGAACACCCATCACACACCCACACACCTCTGGTTTGCGGAGGAGCCAAGGGCTGCACCTCAGGCTGGGCCCTCCGGCACTTTTGGAGAGATGACTCATAGTTAGGGTCCACCTGATCCCACCCAGGGATAGAGACCACGGTTTCTTCCAAGCTGGGGTACTGCTCTATGACACCCCAACGAGCCAGGACAGGAAGGAGAAGGCAGCAGAAGCCCTACCCTCCTGAGGTTAGCTCTCAGTAGTTATTTAAGTCTCTGGCTTAATGAGATCTGGGGACCAGAGAGCTGCCTGCATGTGCCTTTGCCTGGTGGCGGGATCAGAGTGTCCATCTATCAAGACCCCCGGACATACCCTCCTCCCTGTCCAAACCAGTAACTGGACCCTGCTGGCCTTTGCAGGATGCAGGGGCGCCAGGCTCCATCACCTTCCGTGACCTCTGAGCCGTGATCTGGGAAGAGGAGGAGGGACCGTTTTCCTGGCCAGGATTGCAGGGGTCAGAAACTGGAGTGCGGGGGTGGGGGGGGGTGGATGGGGCGGGGTGAGGTGGTGTCTTCCAAGCTCGTCCTTGGTTTACAGACCAGTAAGGATAGGTTCAGACATAGGAAGGGACCTGCTCGGGTCCCTAAGACAGGGGAAGCCATGAATGTCCTCATCTGGAACCCAGGACAAGGTCAAAGCAGGGGCATGTCCATCGTTCTTCCGGGGTTGGGTCCCAGCTCTGCCGTGTGCATTTGGTGATGAGCTAGACTGCTCTGAGTCCTTTCAGTGACGCAGATCAAGGTTCCACCCTTGCAGGACTATAGTGTCGATGGCAGGGCATTGATCTAGAGTCCAAGCTCCTAGAGGCGGTACATGCCTATAATCCCAGGACTTGGGAGACAGAGGGAGAGGGGATCAGGAGTTCAAAATCCAGCTATAGAGTTTGAAGCCAGGCTGGACTACATGTCTCTCTGTCTCTGTCTCTGTCTCTGTCTCTGTCTCTCTCTCTCTCTCTCTCTCTCACACACACACACACAGAGTTAGGCACAGAGAGGCATAGTTAGATATGTCTGGCATCACTTTTCCATTAATTCATTAACTTTACAGGGGACGTTTGTGGAGGTTAGAGGACTACTTACAGTAATTGGTTCTCTCCTTCCATTATTTAGGTTCCAGGGATCAAACTCGGATCATCGAGGCTTACATAGCAAGTGCCATCTCACTAGCTCTGGGCTAGCTCTTGGTAAGAAGGCATCTATCACATACCATCTCTGCCCATACAGGAACTAAGTCATTGGTAACCCATTTACAGATGAGAAAGCTGAGGCTGTGAGAAAGGAACAAAAACCCCAGAGGTATACGGGCTGCCTGCAGCCAAGATTGGACTCAAGTCCAGGTGATCTGATGCGGTCACGTAATACTTATCTTAAGAGCAAGGTCCCTGAGCTGGGAATGAAGTTCAGTTGGTAGAATGTTTGCCCAGCATGCATGAAACCCTAGGCTCAGTGGTGCACAGAACCAGGCGTGGTATTGCACATCTGTAATCCCAGCACCCCAGAGGTACAGGCAAGAGGGTCAGGAGCTCAAGGGCATCCACGACACACTGAACAAGAGGTCAGATTGGGCTACCCCCATGAAACCTTCTCTCAGGAGGGTCTGGAGTAGACAGGCTTGGGTTGTCATGGACCGGGGCACAAAATGGGAGAGCAGGCCAGTCACTGATTTCTTATGCACTGAGCCTAAGCACCCTCAGAAACACAATGTCACCATCCAGTCATCTCCACATGCCCATGAGGCATGCACTATTCTTATCCCCATTTATAGGTGGGAAACGGAGACTAAGAGGCCCGGGAGCTGGCTCGGGACTACCCCTAGCAAGGGCTCCTCCTCCCCGGCGTCCAGGCTGAGAGTGCATCTCCTCATCTGCTGAGCTGTGGTAACAGTACCCTCCCCAGCCAGTGTCAACGGAGATGGAATGACAGCCGGCTGTGGAAACCAGCAGTTCTCAGCCCCATCGGCTTGCCTTTCACAGGGGTTGCCTGAGACCATCCCGCATACCAGACATTTGCATTACCGTTCACAACCGTAGCAAAATCACAGCTATAAGGCAGAAAGGAAAATGCTGTTATGGTCGGGGGTCACCACGACATGAGGAACTGTATTCAAGGGAGGTTGAAAACCACGGCTAAAGGTGTAACACAGACGCACCGGTAAGTGCCAGTCCCTGTGACGGCAATGCTACCCTGCCCATCGGGACTCACGGGCCATGTGCTCTGTTCTTAAAGCTGGGCACACCACAGCTAAGGCAACTTCCTGCCTGCACGGATTCGTCACTGTCAGGACTCACCATGATCACCACGAGCACGATCAAGGCGATCACCAGCATGGCTAGCATATCAATGCCATCGCCATGCCTGCACGATTAACGTCATCACTCATCGCCACCTCCCATCACCGCGCCACCTTCCATCACCCATCACTACCGTCCAACACCTTCATTATCCATAGCCACCATTACCATACCCTTCCCCGTCACCGCCACCGATATCCTCAACACCATCATCATATTATCGCCACCATCTCAGAGTCACCATCTGATTACCTTCACCATCATCACCATCGCCGTGACCTTCACAATTAACGCCACCCCCACCACCAACACACCATCACCACCTTCATCACTACACCATCCACACACTCACGGTCACTCACATTGCACCATTACCATCATCATCACCTTTATTACCACCAACACCATCACTACCGTGACCATCATCATAAGCACCACGGTGTCACCCCCACCCACTGTGATCACTATCAACGCCACCATCACCCCATCATCACCCACACCGTCACCACAGTTATTGCCTTCACGTTCGGCACCATCACCATCACCATTACCGTAGCACGTGTGGCGTTGACCAGTTAGGGCCAGCATTGTGACTCTGTCCCTCCAGGGTCCCCCCCAATTCCCCAGTAACAACACCCACGCTCTGTTGGTAGAATACTTTGGTTTTCTCGTGTTTGTTTGAGAGGATCTTAAGCACCCGGAGTTTCAGAATGGGTCACACGTCTCCCCTCAGAGGCCTCTCCTCCTCCGTGGTGGTGGGGGTGGTGGGCACAGGCGTGCTGGGGGGCCAGGCCACCTCTGCGAGTCTCTTCACAGTCTCGCTCAGCTGCCCCAGGCCCTGAGCAGCCTCCACCAACTGGACTAGGCCCAGCCCCAGGACTCGACGGTCCTGCCGGTCTTGTTCCAGGACCTGAGTCAACCTCTGCAGCTGGTCACCCACCTCCCTCACCGCGGCCACCAGCTCCACCAAGGCAGGTGGCTCGCAGGCCATGACCCTTACGGGTGGTTCTGGGGGCACACATGGCCCAAGGGGACCTGGGTTGGGATTAGGGCTTGGCCCTTGAGTGAGGTGGTCAGGGGGAGGTTGGTCCAACGGGTGGGCCATAGAGGAGAGGTGAAGGTCGGGGGTCACAGTGGGGTCTGAAGTTGAGTGTGGGGTCTGGATAGGTGGAGAGGTTAATCTGGGGCTCTGGCTGCTGGGTGGTTTGGAGACCTCCGTGGATAGTGGGTCCAGGCTTGGGGCCGGAGAGGGCCTGGAGGGGTCAGACTCGGAGGCTGGAGAGGGCTCCGGGTTCTGCAGCGGGGATGTGACCGTGGGAGGGGCTCCCACCAAGGTCAGCTCTGGGCGGAGGCTAGGCTTGACCTTGGGTTCTGGAGGGAGAGAGGGAAATTCTGTCTCCAGGGAGGATGGAAGGGAGTTTGTAGGGGTGGCAGGGGCTGAGGAAATATGGGGGTTGGTGGGAGGTTGGGGCGTGGCGGTGGGGTGAGGGGTCCTGGGAAGCTGAGGGTTTGTGGTATGCTGAGGGGTCATGGTAGGGTGAGAAGTTGTGGTGGGGTGAGGGGCGGTGGTGGGGTGAGGGGCGGTGGTGGGGTGAGGGACGGTGGTGGGGTTAAAGGTGGTGGTGGGGTGAGGGGCTGTGAATGTGGGGGTCCTGGGGCTCACGGGGAGGTCTGAGGAGTCAGAACTCTCGGGGTCTACTTCGGGTGTTGTGCCCACGTCTGGGGTTGTGTCGGATTCTGGAGACAGCTCTGAGGTAGGGGGAAGGCTGGTCACTTCTGAGAGCGCAGAGGAGTCAGAGGTTAGCCCTTCAGGGGAGGCGGGTGCGGGGCTGCGGGAGTGCTCTGGGCTCGGAGTTGGAGGCAAACTGGCCGCAGAACTGGAGGAGGTGGAGTCGGAGACCGTCAGGGAGGGCATTCCTGGGGTGGGTGGAGATGTTTTGGGAGGGTCTGTGGGCCTCCCCGGCTGGGAGGCCGAGTCAGGGATGAGCAGTGGCCAGGAGCCAGAGGTCAGCCGTGAGCCAGAAGCTGGGGATGAGGTGGCGGGTGCTGTCCTGGCCGGGGTGGGCCGCAGCAGCCTGCGCTCGGGTTTTGGCTTCCTTGGGGAACCTGGAGGAGAAGGAAAGCGGGGCGCAGATCGGCCTGAGGTCAGTTCGCCCCACCCACCGTGCCCCGGAACGCCCCCTGAGGAGCTGACCAATGGGAAGGCAGAGATCTTCGTGACATCATGGGTCACCGGCAGACTTCACCAGGCCCTAGCGCCCCCCTCGTCTCCTCCTGTGGGGTTCCTGCCGCCACCTGGTGGCCTCTGAGGGGAAGGTACGTGGATACAAGTAGGGAAGAATTCCGGAGGATAGCGGAGGGCATGGGGAAAAGGCCAGGGGACCAGAAACATGGACACCCTTTGGGATGCAGAAATACGGCAAGACTGCTAGTGAACACCCACAGTGAGACTACGCAATAATTAACTTCACTGTCAAGTTGACTGGGTTTGGATTCACCTAGGGAACACCGCTCTGGACACGTCTGTGTGGGTGTTTCCGGAGAGATTTTACTGAACAGGGAAGAACCACCCTGATTATCCCATGGGCTGGGGTCCTAGACTAAATAAAAAGAAGCGACCTTAGTTAGGTGGGGTGCGCACGCCTTTAATCCCAGCTCTTGGGAGGCAGAGGCAGGCGAACTCCCTATGAGTTCGAGGCCAGCATGGTCCACAGAGTGAGTTCCAAGACAGCCTGAGTTACATAGTGAGAGCCTGTCTGGATATAAAGCAACCCAAAGGATGTGAGTGAAGCACCCAAATTTGTCCCTCTGCTTTGTGACCGCAGGTGCAACGTGACCAGCTGCCCCATGTACCTGCTGCCATGACGTTGGCAGACTATACCTTCACACGGTAAGCTGAAATAAAGCCTCCTGTAAGTGCTTTTTTTTTTTTTTTAGAGGACGAGGGGTCAGGCAATGAAAAATTTAACAACTACACCCTGTCTCAAAAACAAAATGGTGTCCCCCCTTTTCTATCAGTTTCTGATATGCCGCAGTGATTTGCACAGTCTAGATCTGTTGACGTTCTGGTCTCCGTGACTATGCTGCGGGAATAGCTCAAGCAACTGGGGGGGGGGGGGTGTAGTGCCATCCCTGGCCCCTGCCCACTAAGCGCCAATGGAATAGTAGGGATGCGGTGAATGGCAGAGCACTTACCCAGTAGGTGCAGAGCCCTGGGTTTGGTACTAGGACCACGAAGAAAAATATCAGATGCCGGAGTCGGCAGACTCAGGAGGCAAGAGTGGCTGGCACAAAGCCTGGCAGTTTGGCTTTGATCCCCAGGCCGTCCCTCCCAATAATCAAATAAATGTAAATAAGGAAATAAAAGTTGGGGGGGTGCACGCCTTTAATCCCAGCACTTGGGAGGCAGAGGCAGGTGGCTCTCTGTGATTTCGAGGTCAGCCTGGTCTACAGAATGAGTTCCAGGACAGCCAGGACTGTTATACAGAGAAACCTTGTCTCAAAAAAGAAATAAAAAATTATCATTGGGTAGATGCCTTGCCCCCGGTCATGGCAACCCCAAATGCCTTTAGCTATCACTGTGTGCCGCTTAGAATAATCCCCTCAGGTAAGCCATCTCTGCTCCAAATAATGACGGCTTGTTGTAGGCTGTCCCTCTGTTGGGTCTGAGGTAAGGATTGGGTTACCCCTGGGAACTCAGAGCCCATCTCTGCACCCCACAACACAAGGTCCCCAGGCCTCTGCTTTACCCGCACCTCACCTGTGTCTCCACGGGCTCTCGGAGCCGGAAAGGGGTGGCCTGGACTCTTGCCGGTGCCGCTGGTGACAGGAGGTCTGGGTTGGCTTGTGGTGGGGGTCCCTTTGTGGAGGTGCGACAGACCCCTTCGTGCAGGCGTATCCCGTGTCCAGGAGAGCTCATAACGACCCTGGTCATCTGCAGATGTGTGAGGAAGAGGATTGAGTCCTTCCTGCCACCTTCAGCCCCCTGGCAAATTACCACAGCAGGGGCTAACCCGTCACTCAGCCCCTCAACAACCGACGGCACCTCGGCCACCAGCAGGATGCTCATGGCTACTAAAAGCAGAAGCTGATGAAATGACCTCATAAAGGAAATACAGGCATTACTTCCAATCCCCCGAGGCCCCCGACCTTGGGTACAAACCCTCATAATAACTGAACTATCCCAAACAGTTTCTTTTTTTTTTTCTTCTGACCCATAGTGTGCACATACACACATATACACAGACACATGCACAAACATAAATGAATGTCAATAAACAAATAAGTGGATGAATAGAAATAATCAAAAGAAAAACCAGATTCCCCAATTTTATAAATCCTTGGACCACAGAAACATTTCCAGGCTGAAGTGAACAAGAAAAAATAAAGACATAGTTAAGGCCAGAGAAAGACGACGCTGCTGGCTTTGAAGAAGAAAGGGGCTGTGTCTGGAAAAGTCAAGAGGGCGGATTCTCCCACAGGGACCAGCCCTGCCAATACTGATCTTGGCTCAGTGAGACCCATGCATTCTCACCTACAGAAGATCAAGAAAGCGTGTGTTTAAGGCACTGGATCTGTGATGCCATAACGGCCAGAGAGATAAATGTAGGTGCTTCTCGTAGCTTAAAGTCTATCCTTGTTTGGGCAGGAGAAACAGCTCAGTGGTTAAGAGCATCCATTGCTCTTGCAGAGGACCCAAGTTAGGTTCCCAGCACACAATTCAGACAGCTCACAACTGCCTGTAACTCCAGCTTCAGATCCGGCACTGTGCGTGCACACACACACACACACTCACACACAAATAAACTAAATTTGTTTGAGACAGGGTCTCTGTACATATCTCTGGCTATTCTGGAACTTGTTATATAGACCAGGTTAGCTTCAAACTCACAGAGATCCACCTACCTCTGCCTCTGGAGTGCTAGGATTAAAGGTGTGCCATCACCATCTGGTCATAAAATAAATGTTTGTTTGTTTGCTTTTCAAGACAGAGTTTCTCTGTGTAGGTCTGGCTGTCCTGGAACTCACCGTGTAGAAGAGGCTGACCTCAAATTCAGAGATCCACCTGACTCTGCTTCGTGAGTGCTGGGATCAAAGACAGGTGCCACCACCATCTGAACATAAAATAAATCTTAAAAATAAAAACTCCTAGCCCTGTGACTCTGCAAGTTTTTTCCCAAAGAAAGGCCTTTGGTCCTCTGAGAATTCTCTTCCTGGGGCCAGTGAGGAGATGGTCCAGTGGGTAAAGATACTTGCTGTGTACCTGACGACCTGAGTTGGATCCCCAGCACTCCTACGGTGGAAGTAGAAAGCCAACTCATGCAAGTTGTCCTCTGCTCTCCACATGTGTGCCGTAGCACACACACATATGAATGAATTAAAAACCGACTCCCTTCCCGCTCGCCTCTGCTGGTGGATAATATCACATTTCTAGAAGGTTTCTCTTGATTTCTCTACTACAACCAATCATTCCAACCTTGGGATCCTGCACCCATGGGTCGTTGTAATACAACACTCTACCAACAACGTTTTCCATTCTAGGTGAGTTCATGGGCATTCTGCACATCGGAATGGGACATGCAGTCACACAACTCACTCCAGTCCCTGCGGCGTCTAGACTGGAGTCTGCTGCGTGAGTCAGATGCCAAACTTGTGCTCTGAATGACCGCACACATCACCCCAACCCAACGTGGTGCCTGCCTGCAATCCTACCACTGAGAGTCCAAGGCTTGCCTGGACAATGTAGTTGGCGTCCAAGCCAGCTGGGGCTATGGAATACGATGGTCTCAAAAGCAAGCCAAGAGCTGGGAGATATAATCTCCCTTTGTAAAGCGCTTGCTTTGCAGACACAAGGAACTGAGTGTGAGCCTCAGAGCACACGTTTAAAGAAAATAAAAGCCGGGCGGTGGTGGCGCACGCCTTTAATCCCAGCACTCTGGAGGCAGAGTCAGGCGGATCTCTGTGAGTTCGAGGCCAGCCTGGTCTCCAAAGTGAGTTCCAGGAAAGGCGCAAAGCTACACAGAGAAACCCTGTCTCGAAAAACCAAAAAAAAAAAAAAAAAAGCTGGGCATGCTGGCTCCTCTTAAAATCCCAGCACTGGGAAAACAGAGACAGAGGATCGCCCAGGCTTATCAGCCACCAGGCTAGCCTCACCTGACCAGCTCTAGGCCACTGAGAGACCCTGTCTCACAAAAACAGGTTTAGACAGTGCCTGTGGAATGGTACCAGAAGCTGTCCTCTGGCCTCCACACACACTGTCCATACACTGCAGGGACATACACAAGCATGTCACACACTCACATAAGACACATGTAAACTGTTTGAAACAGCCCCATCTTGGCCAAACACCCCATGCCTTCTCCTAAGTCTTGCTACATGGAACTGTCCCGAGAGTTCCCTTGTAATTCTGCATTTGTTTCCCCCTGGAAAAGATCCCCCTGCCTCAGGGATTAGCTGCCTCCACAGTGGAGGGTGCCTCGCATGTGATCAATTCCACCACAAGAGGGCGCTGAGGGGCAGGGAAACCGCCCCGATCGTGCAGAACAAAGGTTCTGGAACTCCGGCCACACCTGATGGAGGATCAGGGTCTCTAGGAGATCATTTCCGGTTCCAGCATCCCATTAACCAACCCTAATACCAGCATGAGATACTGCCGGGTCCAAGTCACAGGTCCCTGAGCCTGCTCCCTGGCTAGACTACAGATGGCCAGGCTGGATCCTGGCGACCAGTCAAAACGCGCCCCACCCCTGTGATGTAATGAGGTGCGAGGCAGAGGAGCAGGTACCTACCCAGCCAGGCCTGACTGCGCATGCCGGGCTCGAGAAAGGATGCAGGCTGATCCTCCCAGCAGCCACAGGCAGAGAGACACACGACAGAGGCCGTGATCGCTCCCAGTCAAAGTGGAGAGAGTGAAGACCGAGGAAAACAGCGGAGCGGAAGGGAGCGGGTAGGGCAGAAATAGTGTCACCTCGCTCACTGAAATGTGGGCTGCGGGAGACACAGGGGGAGAGAGAGAAAGGATGGAGGCCAGAGGAAGGACAAAACAGAAAGCGTGACCCGGAACACGACAGGAGCGGACCGGAAAGAGATGGGGTGTATGTAGTGCCCCGTGCCTGTAATCCAGCATTTGGAGGGGACGGGGTGCAGACAGGGAATCAAGGCCAGCCTCAGCTACAAAGTGAATCCCAGCCTGGGCTATCAAAGAGCTTATCAAGAAAGAATGGGGGAGAAGTGTGAGGGAGGAAGGAGAGAATGGGGGTGAGGCAGACGAGATGGCTCAGTGGGTAAAGTATGGCTCCGGCCTGAAACTCTACCTGGAACCCACGCGGTAGAAGGAGAGGACTGACTCCTACAAGCTGTCCTCTGACTTCACACACACACACACACACACACACACACACACACACACACACACACACACTGTGGCACGTGGGCCAGAGCATACACAGGCATGCACACATGCACATACATACACAATGTAGCGAGACTTTTTTTTTTTTTTAAGAAAAAGTGAAGAGGGTGAGACACGAAAGGAACAGGGGGAAGCCACGGAAGAGGTCAAGGTAGAGGGTGTGGAAAGGACAGAGAAGGGGAAACCCAGGAAGGCAAGGAGAGAGGAAGCGGTGTGAAACACAGTGAGTGATGGGCACAGTGGTGCATGCCCGTGATCCCAGGGCTGGGGAGGTGGAGGCAGGGAGAACAGGAGTTTTGCGCCAGTTCTGAGACAACCAAAGGAAAGAAGAAGGAAAAACAAACTAGTGAGAAATGGAATGAGGCGGTGAATTGAAAGGAAGACGGTGCTGGGTGGTGGTGCTGCTGCTGCTCACCTTTAATCCCAGCACTCAGGAGGCAGAGGCAGGTGGATCTCTGTGAGTTCGAGGCCAGCCTGGTCTACAGAGCGAGATCCAGGACAGCCAAGGCTACACAGAGAAACCCTGTCTCAGGGAAAAAAAGGAGAAAAGGAAGAGGAAGAGGAGGAGGAGGAGGAGAAGGAAGGAAGGAAGGAAGGAAGGAAGGAAGGAAGGAAGGAAGACACGGGCTAAAGAGATGGCTCAGTGGTTAAGAGCACTGGCTGTTATCTCAGAGACCTGGGTTCAATCCCCAGCATCCACATGGTAACTCTCACAACTGTAACTCCAGCTCCAGGGGATCTGACACTCTCACACAGACATACATGCACCAATGCAAATAAAAATAAATAAATCTTTTTAAGGAAGGAAGACACAAAAAGAAAGAAAAAAGTGGGAGGAGAGGCTGGAGAGATGGTTCAGCGGTTACGAGCACTGGCTGCTCTTCCAGAGGACACGGGTTTGATTCTCCCCACTCACACGGTGGCTCACAACCATCTAACTCCCGTTCCAGGAGCTCTGGTGCCCTCTTCTGGCCTCTGTAGGAATTGTATGCACGTGGTGCACAGATATGGATAAGGACAAAACACCCCGACCCATAAAATAATAAATACAACAAAAATTTTAAAGAGTGGAAGCAATGCAGAATTTTAAAGGAAAACTGAGAAAGAAAATACAAGATGCCACATGGGCGGGGGGGGGAGGAGAGAACAGCTCTAGAGATGAGGAAGGGGAGAGGGTGGAAATGAAATCAATGGGGGAGAAAGACACCAGGAGAGGAAAAGAAAATGGAGTCGAAAGTGCAGATAATAAAGTCAAGGAGTTGATAAGGGACATGAGCAACAGCATGTGCAGGAGGAGAGAGATGCGTCCGTGGGGCCGCAGGAGGAAGACAGCTGGGTAGGAGGTGTCCAGAGAACGCACTGGGTGGTGTGGTGGCTCAAGATCTCCGTGTGGGCAGCCGAGAGGGAAGGACACACAATAGCGAGACAGAAGCCATGGTGTAGTCGAGGGACAGATAGCTGTAGAGTGAGACATTGACCTGCTGGGCGGGTTGGGAAGGGCGGGAGGCAGAACCGGTGCCCCAGGGATCCCTGCCTGTGTCTGAGATCAGCTGACAAGGACCCAGTGTGGCCTGCCAGCTCACTTTCCCCAGTAGCTGGGGTAGGAAGCGTGTGCTGGTCTGGTAACCCTGAGCTGGGGGTTCTGGGTCATTCCCAGAGATGCTCCGGTCTGAGGGGGTCAGGCTGGTGTGTCACAGGCACTTCCTGGTCGCTCAGGACTTGCTGGTACCCTCTGATCTCTCAGACCCACAAGCTGTCTCACTGCACTCTGGAGGAGCCGAATACTGTCAAATCCAAGGACGGAACACATTTAGGATGTCTGGAGGATCCAGGGAAAGCCTGCAGGGCCGCAGGGCCCTAGGCCAGATCAGTTAGAAGGATCTGGATGGCTGACCACGGTGGCATGCATTTGTGATGCCAACACTTGGGACGGAGAGACAAGAGGACCAGGAGCTCAGGGCAAACCTCGGCTACATAGCAAGTTTAAGGCCAGTCTGGGAGTACATGATATATCATCTCAAAAAACAAACCGGGTAGGCCACGTGGCCCAGTGAGTAAAAGTGCCCGCTGCCAAGCTTAACAACCTGAGTTTGATTCCTGGGACCCCCGTCCTGGAGGGAGAGCTCGGCATACGCACCCACACAAGTTCCCGGTCAAGCCCCTCACCTGTGTCCGTAAGCCTCTGTGTTCCTGAAGAGGGGACTTCGGGGTTCCTGGTGGTAGCCCAGGAGAGAGTCTGTCCAGGCCATGCTGCCACAGTGGTCCCTTTGGTCAGGTCCTCTCCTGAAGTGGGGTCCCAGGTCCAGGAGGGGTAATCATCGTCATCTGTGTAGCCTGGGGAGAGCATGCGTCCCTTTCTGTTATCTGAGGTTCTTACCACTGTACTTCCCTTCCGGAGTCTCCTTCAGGAGCCCTGTCACGTCCCCACCCTGACCCCCCTCCGGCCAGTCCCTTAGATGACACCGTCACCCTGGGCCACTCGGACTCCCTTCCCTCTGCCTCCCTCACTGTTCCCCGGTACCGGTGCAGGTGAGTACCACGTCTTCCTCGTGGTCACAATTGTGCTTCCCCCATGTGCCCGAGGGGCAGTCGATCAGTGAGGTCTCACTACCCTTACAGCCCATGTCATCCAACCAGATGGGCCCGGTCCCAGGGCCGTAGTGGGTTTTGCCTACTCGGGGCCGGACCTTTCCACAGCCCAGTTCCCAGCAGGCGACTGTGGCGTCCCGAAGGTCCCAGCTGTCGTCACAGACTGTCCCCCACTGTCCAGCATGCCACACCTCCAGCCGGCCAGCACACCTGTTGGGCCCATCGGCCAGACGAACCCGGAAGGGACCTGGGGGGGTGGGAGGCCCTCGGGTTAGGAGGTAAGGGGGACTGCCTCGCTGCTGTTCCCAACCCCTTTGAGCCTCCACCACTCACCTGGTGGCACGGAGACTCCAGGAGATGGGGAGGGGGCTGGATCTCGGGATGACTCCAGAGAACCTTCTGGGCTCTCACCTGATGGCTCCAAGGAGGCCTGAGGGATTTGTGTGATGGTGGCCTCAGAGGTCACTTCTTGGGGGCCTTGAGTAGACAGTGATGCTACAGTCCCTGAGGTCCACTCCCAGGGGACCCTGGGAGTCGCCTTTGTGGTGGTATGTGACGTCTGTCTGTGGGGAGCCTCCGTGGTCAGTCTTTCGGGTAACTCAGAGGTACGTGGGGTTAGATTTAGGGTGCTCGAGGTGCCTGGGACCCTGGAGCGTTTAGTGGTGGGTATCCCAGGGGGTTGGGTGGTTGGTCTTTTTGCATTTTTAGGCACCCACTTCTTGGTGCTCTTGGGTGCTTTCCCTGGAGCCTTTGTGGTTTTCTCTAGCACACTGGAGGTGAGGCTGGCAGAGGCCTTGGTGGCCAGCTCTCCTGGAAGCCAGGCATCCTGATCTCTACCCAGCCCAGGGAGCCAGCTCCAGCTTAAGGGGTCTGAGATGGTATCCAGGCCAGGGGTCCCTAGGAGGCCGGGAGGGAGGAAAGAGAAGACGTAGAAACCATGATGATGGACTCAGGGAACTCCCCCACCACCACTAACCCATACCCTCAGCCCGCTTCTCACTTAAAAAAAGGCAGGGGGGGAGTGCTGGACTAGAGAGAGGGCTCAGTGGTTAAGAGCACTTACTGCTCTTCCAGAGGATCTGGGTTTGAGTCTTAGCACCCACATGGTGGCTCACAACTGTCTGTGACTCCAGTCTCAGAGAATCTGATGCCCTCTTCTGGCCTCTGAGGGTTCCAGGCACACCCGTGTTGCACAGATGTGTTGCACAGATGTACTTGCAGGCAAAATACCTCTGTGTGTGTGGGGGGGGGGGTGTGGGTGTGGGTGTGTGTTTCAAGACAGGGTTTCTCTGTGTAGCCCTGGCTGTCCTGGAACTCTCTCTGCAGACCAGGCTGGCCTCGAACTCACAGAGATCCGCCTGCCTCTGCCTCCCAAGTGCTGGGATTAAAGGCGTGCGCCACCACCGCCCGGCTAGCAATCTGTATTAACTGTATTTGTTCTCTGACAACTGCAAGCATGTCTATAATGAACTGCTCTCTCCATCCGCTCCCTCTCATCCCTAACAACACCCCTTCTCCCTACCCGCCTCTTTCCCCCTTGCACAGCTTTGGGTTGGGTTGTGTGATCCATTTAGCTCCATCAAAAGTCATCTGTGTTACCACTGGACTGGGACATTAGAGCCTGGTATGCAAATTAAAACTACCTGGAGATCCTACCCCACCCCAATCAGAATGACCAGCATCAAGGAAAACAGTGACAGCAGATGCTGGTGAGGATGCGGGGAAACGGAATCCTTCTTCACTACTGGGGGGAGGGCAGAGCGGCGCAGGCGCCGTGGAAAATTAGCGCGGAGAGCCCACAAAAAGCTGGAGAGAGGCTGGAGGGATGGCGCGGCAGGGAAGAGCATGTACTGCTCTTGCCCAAGATCTGAGTTCCATTCCCAGCACCCACGTCAGCAGGCTGACGGCCACCAGAGCCAAGGCATGTGGTGCCTCCGGCCTTTGAGAGCATGGCACTTGTGTGTGCAAACCTACACACAAACAAACACATACACATGATTAAAAGTAATGAAATTGCCAGGCGGCGGTGGTGGCGCACGCCTTTAATCCCAGCAATCGGGAGGCAGAGCCAGGTGGATCTCTGTGAGTTCGAGGCCAGCCTGGTCTACAGAGCGAGATCCAGGAAAGGCACAAAACTACACAGAGAAACCCTGTCTCGAAAAACCAAAAAAAAAAAGTAATGAAATCAATACCTTTCCAAGGCAAGGCATAGAGCTACTTATGACAGCTATTCCCATCCCAGGCACATACCCTAAGGCAGTGGTTTTCAGCCTTCCTAATGCTGGGATACTTTCATACAGTTTCTCATGTTGTGGTGACCCCAACCATAAAATTTTCGTTGCTACTTTATAACTGTGATTTTGCTGCTGTTATGAGTCATAACGTAAATATCTGATATTTCCAATGGTCTTAGGTGACCCCGTGAAAGGGTCATTGGACCCCCCCAACAGGGTCTGAACCCACAGATTGAGAACCATTGCCCTAAGGACTTCATATCTTACTCTTCGAGACAGGGGTCCACTAAGTTGCCCAGACTGGCCTTGAACTAGAGACCCTCCTATCTGAGACTCTCCAGTAGCTGGGATTATAGTCTTCCCTTCAAGCCTGGCTTTTTCCCCCTGAAGTTTTATTTTTATTTGGTGTGAGTGGTTTGCCTGCATGTCTAGCTGTGCACCGTGTATACTCAGTGCCTGTGGAGGCCAGAATAGGGCATCAGACTCCCGCAGAACTGGAGTTAGAGGGCTGTCACGTGGGTGCCGGAATCAACCCTGGGTCCTCTACAAAAGCAGCCAGTGCTCTTAACCATTGATCCATTTTTGTTGTTGTTGTTTGTTCTTTTTGTTTTGTTTTGTTTTGTTTTTAATGACAGTGTTTCTATAGCCCAGGCTAGCCTTAAACTCTTAAGAATCCTCTTGCCTCAGCCTTTCAAATGCACATATTACAGGCATGCCCTGCTACCCCTGGCTTTTCTTCCATATTCATCAGCCTCAAGAGAGGCTCGAAGTCTACCAGGCCATGTCCCTGGTCCCGATCCTTCTGTGGCTCTCCCAGAAGAGAGAGGGGCAGAGCTGATGACTCTGTTCTTTGAGTCACCATTATCCATGACCTATCTTTCTGGTTAGGCGCAGTCTAGGATGAGCCATGCCCAACACAAGCTTGGGTACTTTGCCCCTGGCTCCAGGAAGATGACTTCTAAGCCCTTGGAATGTTCTTGCCTGGTAAGAAATTCCTTGTGTGTATGTGTTGAGGGGTGGGGTGGGCTGGAGAGACGGCTCAAGGCTTAAGAGGACTGCCCGCTCCTCCAGAGGACCCAGGCTCAATTCCCAGCACCCACATGGCAGCTCACAACTGGCTGTAACTCCAGTTCTAGGGGACCTGACACCCTCACACAGACATACATGCAGGCAAAACACCAATGCACATAAAAATAAATAATCTTTAAAAAAGAAACTAAGAAATTCTTTGTGTGTTTGGGGGACTTGCGCCATGTTAGTCTACAATGACAATGTGACTTCTGAACAGCCATGTACACATTCAGCCCCTCCAAACAATGCCAGACATCAAGCTAAGACAACACATCTGGCTGGCCATTCTTGCAGGTTGTCACACCCATTGCTGGGAGAATTCAATACTGTCCACCCCACCCCACTGGGAACTCATACCTGCAGTCTGCTCCATGTACCCTTTCCCTTGGCTGAACTCACCCTGCACCTTCACTATGGTGAAGCATGGCCCTGAGCTAACGGCCTCTCTCCTTCCTGAAAGTCCTTTCATGGACTGAACCTCAGTGTGGTCTTACAGACCCCCCCAAACTCCACCTTGTCACACTGGTTTGCAATAGCTCGGTTTGTGTTCCTCTTTCCCTCCACGGGGCACCAGCGTCTCAAAGACCCATAATACGTTCATTCCATCCTGTGCACCCAGCTCCCAGCTCAGGGTCTCGCACTGGAGTTGGAAACTAGGCTCCTAAAAATGGGGAAATTGCACTGCCAACATCGGTTTTTAACTAGCTCTTATTTTGGCCAGACTTAGGCAATTTGAATGAGGTTATATGAGCTAATTACCCACTACAGGGCTCGGGCTTAGTAAGCACTTGGTCAAGTTACCGACACCCCTGGTCTCCATTCCTTCCTCTAGAAAACCCTTGTAGAGCCAGAAGACGGCTAGTGTGTCCTCACCAGTGCAGGTAACCCCGACATCCTCATTGTGGGCGCAATTGTGCTTCCCCCAGGCAGCAGCTGGGCATTCTGAGAGCGAAGCCTCGGTCCCCACACAGCCTACATCATCCAGCCAGATGGGGCCGGCGCCCCAGCCGAAACGGCCTGCTGCAGGGTCTGGTTGCCGAGGTCCCCCGCAGCCCAGCTCCCGGCAGACCACAGCGGAGTCTCTCATGTCCCAGCTGTCGTCACAAACCGTCCCCCAGCGTCCGTCATGCCATACCTCCAGCCGGCCAGAGCACCTGCTGGGTCCAGCCACCAGGCGCAACTGGGGGGACCCTAGAATAGGGAGAGAGAAAAAAAAGCCAAGGGTTAGGGTCAGAAAGCCCATCTGGCACTCTTCATCTGCCTGCATTCCGCCTTCCTTTCCAAACGTCCATCTATTCACCGTCTAGACTTTTCCTCATGAATCCCTCCGTCCAGAGAGCAGATGTTGATCAAGGTCTCCTCCACACTGGCCACAGAACCAGGCCTAGCTGGCTGTCTCCTCAGAAGGCTAAATATAGAACTGCCGTATGATATAGAAATTTCACTGTTAGGAATAGACCCAAAATATATTGAAAGGGGACTGGCAAGAAGGTATTGATCTTTGCGATGCACTTTGGAATTCACATTGCAGCCTGGGCTGGCCTCAAACTCAATCCTCCTGCCTCAGCCTCTCAAGTGCTGGAATTGCAGGAGTACACCACCATGCCCAGTGAACCAAGGGAATTACTTTACTTTCTTAGGGTTTTTTAATATTACATCCATTTATTTACTTATTGGTGTGTGTGTGTGTGTGTGAGCGTGTGCAGGAGGGTGTGCATATGCAACCATGTGCACGTGAGGGTCAGAGGAAAGTGTGTGAGAATCGGTGCTCTCTCCCCACAATGAGTCCTGGGGTGAAATTTGGGTTGTCAGGCCTGGTAGCCAGCATCTCCACCCACTGAACCATCTTTCTGGTCCCAAGGGATGTTTGTGTGTTTGTGTAGATGGATGGGTGTGTGTGTCCATGGGGAGTGCGTGTACATTCATGCAGAAGCCAGTGGTTGAGTGGTTGACATCATTCTCCGAGGTTTTTTTTTGTTTTTTTTGTTTTTTTGTTTTTTAAGGCAGGGTCTCTCACTGAATCCGAGGCTCACTGATTTGGATCAACTGACTGGGCAGCAAGGCCCAGGGGCCCCCCTGTCTCTGCTCTTCCAGCCCTGGAATTACAGGTGTGCACTGCCTCAGCCAGCCTTTCATCCGGTACTGGGGATCTGAACTCTGGTCTTCATGCTCGCACAGCAAGGACTTTACCCACTGAGCTGTCTCCCTGGTCCTCATCACGTCAAAATAATTCTCAAGCTGTGCAGTCACTTGGAGCAAGCCAGAGGACGTTGTGACGGTCCCACCACAGGGCTTGGGAACCCAGAAGCTTTAGATGGCGGACTGTCATCCTCATCCTTCTGCCCTGCTCAGGACCCAGCTACAGAAAGTGGAACTCTTGTGCAAACACAACTCTGGATTTTAGGATATCAGCAGAACATTAAAACAAGTACTTGGCCTAGGCAGTGGTGCACGCCTTTAATCCCAACACTCGGGAGGCAGAGGCAGGTGGATCTCTGAGTTCGAGGCCAGCCTGGTCTACAGAGCAAGTTCCAGGACAGCCAGAACTGCACAGAGAAACCCTGTCTCAAAAAACCAAAAACCAAAAACAAACACCCCCCCCAAAAAAAAAAAAACCCAAGTACTTGGGGCTGGTTAAGAGCACTGGCTGCTCTTCCAGAGGTCCTGAGTTCAATTCCCAGCAACCCCATGGTGGCTCACAACCATCTGTAATGAGATCTGGCGCCCTCATCTGGCCTGCACGCATACATGCAGGGATACATGCAGACAGAGCACTGTATACATAAAAAGTATATAAATCTTTTTTTAAAAACAAACAAACAAAAAGCAAGTACTTGTCCTGCTGAGCAGGGGCATGGGCTACCTTTCTTTCTATGAGCAAGTTCCATGGGACAATCTCACAGCCAGGACAGAGAGGGACTCACCAGCTTCGGGACCAGGCTCTGGGGGGGCAGTGGGAGAAGCAGGCGGAGTCCAGCTGCCTGCTGGGCCTGGGGTCTGGCCCACGGAGGTAGACAGAAGCCTGGGTGCTGAGGTGTTGCTGTCCACTGCGGGGGCTGTGGGCTGCACAGCACCGAGAGGCATGCCTAGGAGGGAGAAGACGCTGGTACCACCTCCAAGGCTGCCTCCTACCCAGAGGAGGCCCAAGGCTTCCACGTCCCTGACCCGAAGCAAGAAGTGGGTGGGAATAAGAGGGTAGAGCGAGCAGGAAATGGAGGGAGTTTGGAGGTGAGGGAGAAGACGGGCGGCACTCCTAAGCAGGTAAGATTGGCTTGGGCTAGGAGCAAGGAAGTAGGGCTCACCCCATCAAACACCAGACAATATCCAGTGTCGCTTAGGGAGACCAAGTCACCTCTAGTTGCCTTGGACCAAGGTTTCACATAAGAATATAAGATGGGGAAAGAGGGAAATCCATCACAGGAAGCGAAGCGTGAGCAGGGACCACTTCTTTCCCGCCCACTTCGGGTGACCACACAGCCCACTGTCTCATCTTTCCCCATTGATGTCCCTCATAGGCCCTTACCATCACACACGGCCCCAGCATCCTCCCGATGATGACAGTCATGTTGGCCCCAGGGCCTCGCAGGGCAGAATCGCAAGGCTGTCTCATTCCCCCGACATCTGAGATCATCCAGGACGATGGGTCCAGCCCCCTCCCCGAAGAAGGCCCCCCCTGGGGCGGCCAGCGCGCCCCCACAGCCCAGCTCCCTGCAGGCCACAGCAGCATCGCGAAGATCCCAAGCGTCGTCACACACCGACCCCCAGCGTCCACCGTGCCAAACCTCCAGGCGGCCAGCGCAGCCGTGGGGACCATCAGCGAGGCGCAGCCTGGGTGCAGGACCTGGGTATAGGACGTCAGGGGACAGGGTGATAAGAAGTTAGGACCGATGAGGAGCTGCCGAGCTAGACCAAGAAGAGAAACTAGAATGGGTTTGCAAGGACTGGGTTAACACTGTGAGAGTCTCGGGATGGGTGAGCAGGTACTGAGTTAGACCAGTGAGGAATCAGGATGGGTGGATAGGTACTAAGTCGTGCCAACAGGGAACGAGAATGTGGGGGGAGGAAAAGGAGCGGGCAGCAGAAGGAGGACAGGGAGTGGAGGAGGGAGCCCCCAAGTGCCCTTCTATGGCCCCCAGCTGAGGCGTGGCAGGCTAAGCCCAAGCTTCGATCCTGCCTCTCCCATTTCTCCAGAGAACGTGTAAAGAGATAGACCTGAGGCCTTTTACTGCTTCCTGGGGGAGGGAGGAGCTAGGATCCGAGAACTGAAGAGGGGAGGGGGTAGTCAGCTCCCCCTTCCCCGCCCCCTCACCCCCAGCCCCACCCCCACCCCTGCATACCAGTGCAGACCAGCCCCGCATCCTCAGTATGGTCACAGTTGCTCCGGCCCCAGGGGCTTCTGGGGCAGTCCCGGAGAGCCTGCTCTCCTCCTCCACACCCTACGTCATCCATCCACACGGGTCCTGAGCCAGGTCCGAACCTGGCACCCCCAGGGGCGGCCAGCGCCCCCCCACATCCCAGCTCCCGACAAGCCACAGCTGCATCTCGGAGGTCCCATCCATCATCACACACGGTGCCCCAGCGTCCACCGTGCCAGACTTCCAGGCGGCCGGCACATCCGTGGGGACCTGAGACCAGGCGCAGCCGCTCTGGGGGATACAGAGAAGGGAGACTGTAAGAGGCTATGTCTAACGTCAACTTCTGGGGAAAACGGAGGCCCAGAAAGGGCAGTGAGGTTTGACTGAGGTTTGTCTGCCGACTGGCTCATTCAGAAAAGAGAACTGTCACTGGTAGGACCCCTGGGTCTCACAGATCAGTTAGAGGAGGGTGGCCAGCCCTGACTGAATCCTTGGAGGGCCACAGGCAGAACGGAGGTCTGCGATCTTCAGTTTAGCTGGGCCTGCTGTCCCACGGCACCCAGATCAAGGAGACAAGGAAGATCTGGAAGAGACTCACCTTGGCGGGGAGCTCCATTTGTCAGTACAGGGGCCCGGGTGGACTTGGCCTGCTTGGGTGGCCTGGGATTCTTCTTGCGAGGGCCATTCTGGGAGCTTGCTGCTGGTTGGGGGGCTGGGAAAGTGACACGTGACCAGGAAGTCAGGCTCTGAGCTGTTCACCCTTCCTGACTCCTAGGCATCTGTCTAGGGATCCCTTGCTGAGAGTCTGAAGTGCTGGAGGATTCCCACTGGCAGGAAAACATCTGTAGCAAGATGACCTTCCCCCATAGCTGAGACAGACTGGGGTACAGGGTGGGAAGCCTAGTCTTTTGTGCTCACCATGAGTCACAGGGGGCTCCTCTGAGCTAGGGCTCAGCTCCCCGGACAGTGGCAGCCACGGATCCCCATCCAGTAGGGATGTTGAATCTTCTCTAGAGTTAGCTGCACGCTGACCTACGGGAGAGGACCAGAGTTATGAGAACAGTAACGGTATAAAGAATAGAGAGGCTAGCAGGGAGGTGGTGGCGCACGACTCTAATCCCAGCATCAGGAGGCCGAGTCAGGCAGATCTCTGTGAGTTCAAGGCCAGCCTGGGCTACAGAGCGAGATCAGGACAGGCACCAAAACTACACAGAGAAACCTTGTCTCGGAAAAAAAAAAAAAAAGAAGAAGGAGAAGGAGAAGAAGAAGAAGAAGAAGAAGAAGAAGAAGAAGAAGAAGAAGAAGAAGAAGAACAGAGAGGTCACTTGTCACTTGATCCCTGGGACAGAACAACCTGGATGCTTGAATTCTCTGGGGCTCAGAAATAAGTGATTGTAAGCTGGGGGTTCTAGGAGGTGAGGAGGAACCTGGTCTTATGGGGATAGGGAATTAGGCATTTCTCAGCTTCTAGACAGCTCAAATCTACAAGAACTATGGACTTGGGGTTTCTGGGGCCATCACCGTAGGAGGAATTTGAGTCTCTTTACCTACACAGACGACGCCTGCGTCCTCCTCATGAGAGCAGATATGGGCCTTCCAGCCCCGGTGGGGACAGGTGCCCAGCTGTCCCTCACTGCCCCGGCAGGCCAGCTCACTGAGCCACACGGGCCCAGTGCCCTCCCCGAAGAAGGCACCCCCGGGGGCGGCCAGCGCCCCTCCGCAGCCCAACACACGGCAGGCCACTGCAGCGTCCCGGAGGTCCCATCCGTCGTCACACACGGTGCCCCAACGGCCGCTGTACCAGACCTCCAGGCGGCCGGCACAGCCATGGGGACCATCAGCGAGGCGGAGTCGCTCTGAAGGGCGAAGGAAAGACTGTGACCCCAGACAGAAGCCCTGTGGCCTGGGGGCCAGGGTGGCAGTAAGGGCAGGGAGCTGCCTTGCAAGGTGCCAGCTACCCTGGAGGCAGGACCCTGGACCCAGACTCCTGGGTACAATGAGAGGAGTGTCTCAGAGATATTGGGGGCTGTGTGGAAGGTCAGAGTGGAATCAGGGGAGCAAGGAGGGACCAGCGGGAGAGTGGCGGGAGGCTTGGAGCTGCGTGAGGCCAAGTGGAGAGTCAGGACACTTACCAACAGCCTGGGTCCCCACCAGTATTGCTGCAAAGGGGGTCGGAGGGAACAGAGTGAAGGTGAGTTAGGGGGGAGGGGTCCTCTCCCCAGCGCATGCTCCCGGCTTAAGTTCGGTGAGAAACATCCACTCACATACTGATTCCTCACACCTCTGAGTCAGAAACCCCACTGCTGGAATGGACTTTGGGTGGAGGCTGGGATAAGTTGCAGGTCCCTGGGGCGGGTGGGGCCCAGATGCCTGACCCTTGAAGACAGGGCTGGGGACCAGATTGAATGGTGGGAGTGATACCCCCCCCCCCCGCAGTGTGAATGCAGGGTAACAAAGGGTAGGTCACTTGGGTTGCTAGGCAGGACGTGCAAAAGGCTGGGTCCCTGAGGGATTAGAGGGGCCGGCCAGATGTCAGGATATTCCAGAGCACCAGAACCAGAACTGGCTCCCTGAAGCTGAGTCCCTAAATTGGACAAGCTAAAGGGTCAGAGGTGAAAGTCCAGGTCCCTAAGGTACCCCCTCCCCCAGAGGGAATGGGTCACTCACCAAGGAGGCAGGCCAAGCCCCTCATGTTTGCAGAGTCCAGGGCAGGGGTTGGGGGTGAAGGGGGAAGGAGGGGAGGAGAGGGGAGGAGGAGGCAGCCAGAGAGAAAAGGAGGGAGGTGGCCGCCCGGCCCGCCGGAGGCGCCCTGGACAGCTAGGAGCAGGCTGGGCTGAAGGCTTTGCCAGGAGGGAGAGCTGCTGCAGGGAGGCAGCAGGGGACAGGAGGGGGAGGGGGCTGGCCGCAGCTGAGGCTGCAGGGGGGGGGCGGGGGGCGGGGGGCAGGCAGAAGGGAGGTGTTCAAGTGCAAACACCCACACTGGAGGAAGGCGGCCAGCCAGGCTCCAGAGGGCCACGTGCTCAGAGATGCTGATGGGGATGGCAGCTCTGAGAAGGGACAGGCCTGGGTGTCTGGGGGACAAGGCTGAGGGCACACCCTCCTGCCTCCTCTTGTTCTCCAAGCCAAGGGAGTGCAGCTGGGAGTGGACAGATTTGGGGGGAATCCTGCAGTAGCAAGAAGGCCCGCAGCCAGACACCAGGAGGGACTTACTACTATATTAAGAAAAGAAACTGAAAAAAAAAAAAAAAAAAAAAACCCTATCTCCATTGGACCCTCACTCTGTTAAATCTGGATGGGAAGTTTCTAGTTCCCATCTGAGGAAGGAGTGTCGGAACTTACTAGTGCCCAGAACAAAGGTATGGAGGGTAGAGAGACCAAGGGGTCAAGGCTTGGGTCTGGAGGGGGTGCGCGTGTGCACACACACACACACACACACACACACACACACACACACACATACACACACACCAGGCAGCTGTGGGGGAAAAACTGTGGTAATGGGGAGCATGACTCAGAAGGCCTGGCAGGGACTGGGCTGCCGCTGTGAGCTCACTGCTTCTTCCCAGCGAAGTGCACCTCCCCTTCCCTAGCAATTAATGTCAACTTTGGAGAGGAGGAGCCAGACAGAAGGAGGGGGTCTGGAGGGAGCAGCTGGGAAAGGCATGAGAAAGGAGACAGGCGCACAGAAGTCTCGGGCTTTATTAACAAACTGTAAAAAAACAGATGGGCTTGGAGACTGTGCTCCCTGCCCCACCCACTCCCCAAAGATCTGCCCACTTTGGGGGTACACTGTCGCAGACTCTAACTCTGCCTCTCACTCTCCCCAAATATCCCTTCCAGACCCAAAACACACACAGTAGGGGCTTTGTAGATCCAGAACTAGAGAGGTTTGGTTTTGTTTTTTTGGGTTTTTTTGGGGGGGTTGTTGTTGTTGTTGTTCTCAGTGCATACAAACTATGGGGCAAGGAGTGGACAGAGTGGCCTCTAGTGGTCCCAGAGGACCAAGAAGAGTCCCCACTGCACCTGGCAGGTCCACTCTGAGTCCATCAACCTCAGCGCCTCCCTATCAGCCCAGCAGACTGGGTAGACACTGAGGGAGGGGATGTAAAGTGCCTGGCACACAGTAGGTGCTCTTTAGGTGCTGGTTCTCCACCCATCTCTCCAGTGGGCATGGTCTATAATCACAGATCTTTGCTGAATTCTCTCACCAGCATATAGCCCATGCAGCCCCAGCCTCCCTCTGCCTGGTAGCCACAGGCCTCCAGTAACCCTGCCACGCCCCAAGCAGCCACAGCCACTGGGACCACGAGCCGGGCCCGAGGTTCCCCCACACTCCCAGCCCAGGCTCGAGCTCGGGATTCAGCAAAGGCCAGCAGCCTCCTGCCCACGCCCCTGCGACGATGCCATCGAGAGACGGAGAGGCGGGTGACTCGGGCTCCGTCCCCCACGTTGGCACCAGGAGCCAGAGCCAGGACTCCACACACATCGCCTGAGCCCCGGACAGCCACCCAGGGCCCCCCCAGGCCGCCGGGCGGAGGCAGAGAACCCCACCGGGCTCGCAGGCCCAGCTTCACAGCGGCCACAGCCAGAAACACGGGCAGCAGGAGGGCCAGGGCGAAGGAGGCCAGGACGAAGCGCAAGCCGCTGCTGGCTGCGGCCAGGAGGAGAAGGGCTGGCGGACGAGTCAGAGCGTGGAGGGCCACACGGTTTTCTGTGTCTTTTACACCAGCCTGTGGGTGGGAGCAGCGACTCAGCCATTGGAACTCCCGAGGAAGGGTTCCCAAGTGGGAAGAGAAGCCAGCTGTTGGGGTAGTTCCAGTCTGACCCACTGGGTGTGAAGGGCTGAGTGAATGAATGAGGGATGGATGGGTGGATGGATGGATGGAGGGAGGGATGGATGGATGGATGGATGAATTAGAGCCTGGGGCCAGTGAGTCTGGAGGGCATGCTAGGGTAAAGCACCAGATAGGGAAATTGAGGCCGTGGGCCGCAGGAGGGTCTGGAGGACAAGAGCACCTCTCATTTGGGGGCTGGTAAGCGGGGCCCACTGGCGGTCAGGAGCCCTGAACATCCAGCCCCCACACCCTTCCAGCTGCTTTAATTAATAAATAAATAAATAAATAAATAAATAAATAAATAAATAAATAAATAAATAAATATAAATAAATAACAGCTGAGGTGTAAGTAGGGAGAAGGAACTAGAGAAAAGGGACCGATTAAAAACAGCCGAGGCCGAAAATATTCCCCCTTTGGAGGTCCCCCGGAGCGCAGGCAGGTGGGCGGGGCAGGTGGAGCCCACTTGGAATGTCCCTAAGCAGCTGCGCATGCTCACTGGTGCCCCTGCCGGCCTCTCACCTTCAACATCTCCAGCACCAGGGGCTTCTCATCTTCCCTCATCTCCCGCACTGACAGGTGGTTGGGGGCCATGGTAGCCCCCAGGCCGCCGCCCCCCAAGAAGGGAGCTGGCGTCGTGCACCTGCTGAAAACAATTAGGTCTGTGTTAGGTGGGCACCTGAGTCCTCAGAGCTCTGGGAGAAACGGGCTGCAACATTTCCCAGACCACCAAAGGACGCTGGAGCACCGCCAAAGAGGGTTGCCACAGTGTCAAGTCAGGAGCCCCCACACCCAGCGGGGCTCAAAGCCTCCCCGAATCGTCCCCCACTCCGGGAAGGCATTCAGCGATCTGTCTGTAAACTCGCTCCCTCCCCACACTGCAGGAGCAGGTGGGTCCCCATCCTGCACAGCAGGAACAGGGCCCTGCAAGCACCTCCACAGGGTTGCTCGAATCCCTTGACAGCAAGGGGGAGCAGGGTCAGGAAGGGGTCACCAGCGGAAGTGACGTCCACACTCCCGACTGGAGGCGGGCCCGGCGCCTTAGCAAATGTTGCCGAGCTTCTCCCACCAGCGGGCAGGGGTTGGCAGTCACGAGGGAACTGCGAGGGCGAGGGAAGAGCTGTGGCCTGCGGGAGGCCGGTGGGAGATCCATGGGGAAAGAGGAGGGTGGGGGGCAGAGAGGGCTTCTTACCCGGCCTGCCTGTGGAAGGTTAGCACAGCTCCTTTCTTGCCGGTCCTTCGTTGCTAAGCGACCTGAGCATCAGGAGGCGGCGGCTTTGCTTGCGAACCTAGTCTCATTGGTAGCTGGGTCTTTGAGGGAAGGAGTGGGGGCAGTACTGAGCATCCCCATCCGCAGGGACCTTTTATCTCAACCCGGTGGCACCTGGGGTATTGTTTGGATCAATAATATCCCTCTACCTTTCAGGCGAGGAAAAGGTGAGGCTAACTTACCGGGAAGAAGCATCTGGAATTTGATCCCTAATCCTCCCTGGTATAATGACTATAGTGACGCGCGGGTACACACACACACACACACACACACACACACACACACACACACCTTTAAAAGATGGCAAAGGGCCAGAGAAATAGCTCAGAGAATAAAACAGCTTGCCAAACGAAAATCCACTCGGCAGACTCCCGCAAAGTCTGTGACCTCCACAGGTGTACCCCCACCCTCAACACAAGACAACTCTTTACGAATTGAAAGGCCAGGGGAACCGATCCGCACCCTGGAGAAGCAGTTAGCCTCCGCACCTCAGAGCCCGAGGGAAGAATGAAAACCTCCAGGTCCTAGGCAGGAGCTGTGCCCATGACTATCCTTTCCCCCATGAAAACAAAACCAAGAAGAGACTCTGTCTTTATTAGCAAGCCCAGCCAGCAGTCCCCTTGACTCCCGAACTGACCCCAGCCCAGCTGAGGAAAACAGTTAGTTGCGGGGGGGTGGGGAGGACGTCTGTGGCAGACAGAGGTACTAGTGGGTCTCTTCAAAACGTGTGTACCAACTGGACTGCAGGCAGAGTCTGCACAATCTGGATAGAGGGCAAACTCTGCGGAGCCATGACCCCCGGGCCAGCCACTGCAGGGACCACTTGTACCATCTGGGAGGTGGGAGCTACGGGCACCCCCACGGGGGCAGAGACCGGGCCAGGTGCCGGTGGGGCCAGGAGCTGCAGTGTCGTCGTCGTGGCGCCTCCTGCAGCGCCGCTGCTTTCCAGAACATCGGTAGCTGGAGCGCTCCGAATGATGAGGAGTTTCTGTCCTGATGGGCCAGTGGCAGCTGGCTCTGTCAGTCCAGGGGAAAGGGTCTCCACCTCCTGCACACACAGCCTGGTCTGCTCGCCGTCTGCTCCGCTCAGCACCAACACACTCTGCAGTCCCTCCTCTGTCTGCAGCGTTTCAAACACGACATCCTGGACCATGCTGGCGCTGGCCTCGCTGTCCCCCACCTCCCCAGGCCCAGGGCCGGTGAGTAGCTCTTCAGCAGTGCCACTCTGAACCACCAGCAGGTTTGGAGTGTCTGTAGCCACAGCTCCTCCACTGGAATTGGAGACTTGGCCTGTCAGGGGCTGGAGCTGGACTGTAGTCACCTCCTGTGCTGGTTGGAGCTGGACCGTGGTCACTTCCTGTGCAGGCTGGAGTTGGACCGTGGCCACTTCCTGTGCGGGCTGAAGCTGAACCCCACTCACTTCCTGTGGCCCTGTCTCCCCATTCCCCACATTCTGCAGAACAATGAGACTCTGCCCTCCTCCGCTAGCTCCTGTGTTGCCTCCTCCCTGCATCCCCAGGCCGCTTGGGCCTGGGAACCACACCACCCCCGTGCCCTGTCCCGCTTTCGCCACGGCCCGAGGGCCCTGCTTTGCAGCACCATTGCCCATACCCCCAGCATTGGCAGGAGGCAACAGAATGAGCTTGGGAGGTGGAGGCGGTGGAGGAGGGGTAGGGGGTTGGACACTGCTAGGGATCAGTTGGAGACCCTGGGCAGTCTGTACCAGGAGAAATGTCTGGGAGTTGGGGACGACTGGGCCCGGGGGCGTAGCCTGAGCTGTGGTCCCAGCTACTTCAAGTGAAAGTGTGGCCTGTAGGTGGGGGAGAACGTGGACATCTTGGGCAGCCAGTGGAGTTGGAGCTGCGGCCAGTGGGGCAGGGGGCTGTGGTGCAGCAGGGCCGCTGGTGCCCGAAGTTGCTGTGGCTGGGGTGTGCGTCCTCAGATGCCGCTGCAGATAGGCGGCCATGACAAAGCCACGGCCGCAAATGGGACAGGCAAAAGGACGCTCAGCAGAATGGGTGCGCTGGTGCAGCAGCAGGTTGGAGGAGTGCGTGAACGTCTTGGGGCAAAGCGGGCAGCGGAAGGGTCGCTCGCCCGTGTGCACGCGCTGGTGCTGCCGCAGGTTGGATGTCTGTGCGAAGCTCTTGCCACACACGCTACAGGCGTGGGGCCGCTCGCCAGTGTGCACGTGCCGGTGGCGCCGCAGGCACGATGTGTTACGGAAGGCTTTGCCACACTCGTTGCAGGCATAGGGCCGCTCGCCCGAGTGCAGTCGCAGGTGGTACTGGTAGTGGGACGACCACTTGAAGGTGAGGCCACACTGGCCACAGGTAAAGGCTCGAAGGCCCGTGTGCACGCGCTGGTGGATGGCCAGCAGAGAGGAGCGCTTAAAGGCTTTGCCACACTCCCCGCACTGGTAGGGCCGCTCGCCTGTGTGGTCCCGCAAGTGGTAGCGCAGCCCGGAAGAACCCTTGAAGGCCTTGCCACACTCAGCACATTTGTATGGCCGCTCTGCGGAAACGGGGGCGGGTGGGGGTGGAGGGGGAGCAGGAGTGGCTGGGGCTAGAGGCTCCTGGGGACAGGTGACCTCGGCAGCCTCCGCCTGAGGGGGCGGGCGTCCTGCTGCCGCCTCCTCCACGTGGCACTGCTGGTGAGCCAACAGGCTAGCCAGCTGTGGGAAGGCGCCATCACAGCTGCCACAGCGGAAGGCCTGTCCACTGGCCCCGCCATGGCTGTGCTGGTGGCGGGACAGGCCAGCCACGGTCCGGAAGGACTTCCCGCAAGGAAGGCAAGCAAAGTTGGGGGGGCCCGCGGTGGCAGGCGGGGGCTGCGGCAGAGGGGGGTCGGCTTGGGGCAGCTCGGCAGGCGTATCCTGGGGCTGGGCAGCCACGGCGGGACCCGGGCATGGCTGGTGCTCCAAGAGCAGCTCCTCGCTGCTGAAGCCCTGCTCGCAGCCATCGCAGCGGTACACCAGCTCCACCGTGGTCTCGGCCGCAGCCAGAAAGAGCTCGGGCACCACGGGTGGGGGCGGCGGGGGCGGGGCTTGGGGTGCAGGCGGGCTGCGGGGCTGCAGATAGGCATCAGAGACCAGGACCTTGGTGCTGGCTCCGCTGGTCTCCCCTGCAGGGGTCCGGGTGGAGCCGGGGGCGGGGCCGTGGGTGCGATGGTGCAGCAGCAGATTGGAGGAGTGGGTGAAGGTCTTGGGACAGAGCGGACAGCGAAATGGGCGCTCCCCCGTGTGCACCCGCTGGTGCTGGCGCAGATTGGTACTCTGTGTGAAGCTCTTGCCGCAAATGCCACAGGTGTAAGGGCGTTCCCCGGTGTGCACGTGCCGGTGGCGCCGCAAGCTGGACGAGTTCTTGAAAGCCTTGGGGCAGTCGGGGCACGGGTAGGGCCGCTCTCCCGTGTGCTGTCGCAGGTGGTACTGGTAGTGGGATGACCACTTGAAAGCCAGGCCACACTGGCCGCAGGTGAAGGCCCGCAGGCCCGTGTGCACGCTGCGGTGGATCTGCAGCAGGGAGGAGCGCTTGAAGGCTTTGGGGCAGTCGGGGCACTGATAGGGCCGCTCGCCTGTGTGGCCCCGCTGGTGGTAGAGGAGAGCTGAGGAACCCTTGAAGGCTTTGGGGCAGTCCGGGCACTTATAGGGCCGTTCTCCCGTGTGCGTGCGCTGATGGTGCAGGAGCCGAGATGACCACCGGAACGACTTGCCGCACTCCCCGCACTCATACTGGGCAGCAGGGGTGGGTGCTGGGGCAGGGGGGCCTGGCTTCTCCCCAGTTCCCTCCGTGGCGGATGCTGGTGCCATGTCCACGTGGGAGCCGGCCATCACACCTGGTGGAAGGATTCTGATCAGAGTGGGCTAGCACTGGTCCTTATCACCACTCATACTGGCTCTTCAAGGAACAGGACAGCCTCTCTATATCACCCACCCTGTAGGGGTTCTTCCTTAGTGTTAGAGCTTCCAACAGCCTAGGTTTAACACACAGTATCACAGACTAAGAGAAATAATGGGGTATCCAGGGTGTCAACTTCTCAGCAAACTGCAACTAGGTGGCCAGCTCCTCTGGGAAGCAGAGATCCAAGAAGGGGCGGCCTCTAGATGGAGCCCTGCCTTCAGAAGGACACTGGCCCCTCTGATGTCAGAGCCTTAGGAGACTCCGGCTTTGCTTCCTGCTCTGGTGTGAGGACTCACTCCTCACCTTTCTCCACCTCAACACTTGTCCCCACCACCACACCCTAAACAGTGTCACTCAAGTGACCAGAACTTCAAGCACCCCACTCCACCACCCACTGCCCCCCCATTACCTCTTGGGTCCCCCAAACCCCAGTGATGACTTCCTGTTCCCACAGGCTCTACAACCTCCTCCCATCACGCCATCACCGCCAGCGCTCCCTGGCACACCCGCCCTGGACACAGCTGCCTGTCTCACTGTGCACATGTTCGTGTGCACATTTCTGAACACTCCCCGTGCGCCTCTCACTCGCACAGCACTTTCTCTGGCCCCTCCACCCCTCAGTGGTAACCCCGACATGTTTCCTCCCCACTGAATCCTCCTGCTCCCCTGTTCTCAGCAGGTGACCTTGCTTCCGATCAGGCCCTGCAGTGACTGGAAAAAGAACAGCCATCAGAACAGAACATCTCATGCACCGACCACTGGACCAGCGCTTCCCAACTGTCACCCCACTCGGGACATCTTGTGATGCTGGAGACACTCACTGTTGCTTGCCTGTCACGTGCGGGGACAGGGGTGCTTCTCAACACCCTACAGTGCACAGGATGAACCCCCACAAAGATCCAGCTCAAAACAGCAGCAACACAAGACTGAGAAACTGTAGGAATCCCCCCACACGCTTCCCTGTGCCATGGCCTCCGACCTCCCGTGGCATCCTCGTTTGCTTCAACGAGACCGTTCCCAGCAGCAAACACAAAGACACAACACCCTTGCTTCGGTTCTCTCCAGCCCTCCACGGGTCCAGAATCAACCTGCCCTCCCCTCTGGAACCGCCTCAGTCACCTGCAGTCCCCAGCACCCCAGCCCCGTGCTGCTGAGTCCTCCCTTCAGGCATCCGTCCTAGCCTCCGATGGCTGTCTCCTTCCTGTCACCATCTCGGCCTTTGGGCTGGATCCTTCTAAACCTGGAGGTTGAGTCAGAGCTCAGTCAAGAACGGCTGGTCTAGCTATTTGCCCCTCTCTCTGGAAGCCCTCGCCCCTCCTAAGACTCCACAATTTATAAAAAGAGGACTCCAAAAGTGTAACTACTCAAGACTCTCCTTTGTGTCACATGCTTGGTGCACTGTGCCTAAGACACCTCACACTTAACTAAAATCTAACTCCAAGTTTTTATCTTCCTTCTATGCCCTCCTACCAAATATTTAGAAGTAGGGCTGGAGGGGTAGCTCAGTTGACGGAACGCCTATCCAACCACACAAAGCCCTAGGTCTGACCCCAGCACGGCACACACTAGGTGTGGAAACCCAGAAGGTTGAGTCCAGCAGTCACACACCTGTATGAACAGAAGACAAACCCCTTACAGCAGCCTGCTGAGTGCTCACGACTGGTGATCTTCTCCCCACTTGGTGGCCTCCAGTCCTTCTAGCCTTCCAGCCAGGCAGGGAGAGCTACCCCCACCTTGGGGCTCCCGCCTAGTACCCCTTCTCTCCACCAGCCACAGTCTACCCTGTCACCTCAAGACACCTCGGACCACCCTACTTAAATCCCTCAGCACTCGCTGCTCTCTTCGCATACCTCGATGTGTTCCCTTCTTCGTGGGGCTCACCACCTTTCGCTACACAGCCGGGATTTTTCAACCTCAGCAGCACAGAGATTTGAGGATGGGTCATTCTTTGTCAGAGGGGCTGGCTCACACATTGTTGGGCGTTTGGCAGGATTCCTGACCTGTCAACCCGATGGATGCCACTGGTAGCAAAAGCAGGAACTAGTTTGACCCTTCCTTGGCAGATCCTCAAGCCACTGCTCCCGTGTCCCCACAAGCAGAGTCCCATCCACATTTAGCCCTCTCGCTGCCTCTTTTATTCTGTCTAATGTCTGCACCGTGTAAACAGGGAACCCCTTTCTTGTTCCCTGTGCATCCCAGCATCTACCAGCTGAGTGCATGCTCAGTAAACACAGTCTGAGCAAACAGGGACGAGGCTATGGAGGATTTCTGTTTTTAAGGGATGGGCAACGGGCTATGAAGGGTTTCTTTATTAAACGATGGGCGTCTCTTTCACCATGTAAGGGACTAATGAGCTTAAGAAACTGCATGTGCCTTTTGCGAGGTCAGGCTGCATCTTTTAACACAAGATGCCCAAAGGAACAGAGGGACCCAGCTGAGCAGTGGGAGTCCCCTTTAAAAGGCTGGGCTTTGATGCTCATGGGGCTTGGGGTGTAGCTGGACTGTTAGTTAATGACTGGCATGCATGAAGCTCTGGATTCCCAGGACAGCAGAAAACCAGGCGTGGTAGCACAGGCCTCTAATCCCAGGACATAGAGGGTAGAGGGAGGCAGGAGGATCATAAATTCAAGGTCATCCATGGCTACACAGTGAATCCAAGGGCATCCTGAGCTACATGAGACTTTCTGGGGAAGAAAAAGGTTAAATACCTGTCTCTACCTTTGTACAGATATTCTAGGGACCAGCAGGATTATGAAACTTTTCCTTCAACGTCTGGGAAACTGTCACCCGCTTTTAAGGAAATATATAATCCTCTTTTAAGAGAAAGGGGAGGAAAAAGAAAAGACACGAAGCTTTGCAAAAAAAAAAAAAAAAAAATGCCTAGCTAAACACAGCGCCCTTCCCCTTTAAGAGGGAGGAGCCGGCCTCACGGAGTACAGATCGGAGGCGAAACAGCGACTTTCCCTTTAAGATCCCCCTTCCGGTTTCCCGCTCGCCGTTGCCCAAACGACTCCGCCCTCCGGCCCTTCCCCCACCCCGCCCTCCGGTCTCTCACCTGTGGCCCCGGTCTGGGAGGGGGGGTCGAGGAGAACCCCAGAGCCTTCCCGCGGGGGCCGACGGGAAGCGGGGCCCGGCACAGCGCCGCGGGAGCCGCGGCCCGGGAGGGGGCGGGGGCGCGCTCCCTCCCCACGGCCCCCGGCGCGAGGCACCCAACCTTTATCGGCGGCCGCTCGCGCACACAAACCCCGCCGCCGCCGCCGCCGCCGTGCGTCATGACGCAACGCGCCGCTCCCAGCCCGGCCCCGCCCACCGCGGGGGGGTTGCTCCAGGTGCCGAGTCTGTGCTTGGGGGTCCTGGCCTGAGGTTGGCGTGTGTGGGCTCAGTCCCAGTGCTCTCCTGCTGGAGAGGACGTCCGCAGACGCGGGCGGGAAACTGAGGCACGCAGCCTTCCTGCATGGCTTGGGTCTCGCGGGGAGCCTGAGGTGCCCCTGCAAGCCTGCTCTCCACCTCCTGCCGGCTGGCATCTGGGGGTGTGGGTCATGCTGGCTTCCTCAGCGTGATGACATTGAGACAGATTGTTTTCGTTGCTTTAATTCTTTTTTTTTTTTTTGGTTTCCTTTTTTGAGGCCACGGGCTCATGTAGGTTGTTCAGTGTGCAGCCCAGGCTGGCCTTGAATTCATAACGCCCATGCCTCCGCCTCCCCAGAGCTGGGATTACAAGCGTGTGCCTGCAGGCTCACTTGAGATGAGTCTGGGCTTTGGTTGGTTGCTCTCCGTGGGAGCTTCCTGTGCGTTGTAGTGTGGTCAGCCGGAGCTCCAGTCTGTGCCCACTAGCTACCGGTGGAACTGCCCTATGCGCGCGCACAATGACAGCCCCAGTTCCTTGAGGCGCTCCAGCAATCCACTACTTCAAAGGCAGTACCGCGAGCCAAACACTCTGGGACTGTGGACCTCTCACACACACGCCACCAGCACCACGCTGGACTTGATTTCCTAATTCTCCTACCTCTACCTCCCAAGTGCTGGGATTACAGGGGTGCATCACCACAATGGGCTTCTACGGGCTATTCTCTGCTTACTCAAAAGACCCTTTATCTCTAACCCATCTCTGCCTAGCTCTTGCTGGAAAGATCCATGATAACCAGGGTCCTCCTGTCGGTTGCAAGGGGACAGACAGCTCCACACTGCCATTGTCAGCAGCATAGAGTTCCCCTAGACCAGGGGTTCTCAACCTTCCTAACGCTGCAACCCTTTAATAACGTCCCTCACATTGAGGTGACCCCCAACCAAAAACTATTTCATTGCTACTTCATAACTGGATGTCAACATGTAAAAGATTACAAATAGATCCATATCTGTCGCCATACATAAAACTCAACTCCAAGGGGATCAAAGACCTCAACATAAATCCAGTTACACTGAACTTGATAGAAGAGAAAGTAGGAAGTACTCTTGAACGCATTGTCACTGGAGATCACTTCCTAAATATAACACCAGTAGCACAGACACTGAGAGCAACAATTAATAAATGGGATCACCTGAAACTGAGAAGCTTTTGTAGGGCAAAAGACACGGTCAATAAGACCAAACGACAGCCTACAGAATGGGAAAAGACCTTCATCAACCCCACATCTGACAGAGGACTGATCTCCAAAGTATATAAAGAACTCAAGAAACTAGACATCAAAATACTGAACAATCCAATTAAAAAATGGGCTATAGAGATAAACAGAATTCTCAAAAGAAGAATCTCAAATGGCTGAAAGACATTTAAGGAATTGCTCAACATCTCTAGTCATCAGAGAAATGCAAATCAAAATGACTCTGAGATACCACCTTACACCTGTCAGAATGGCTAAGATCAAAAACACTGAAGACAGCTTATGTTGGAGAGGATGTGGAGCAAGGGGAACTCTCCTCCACTGTTAGTGAGAGTGCAAACTTGTGCAACCACTGTGGAAATCAGTATGGCGGTTTCTTAGAAAATTGGGAATCAATCTACCTCAAGACCCAGCCAGACTACAAAGATACATGCTCAACTATGTTCATAACAACATTATTTGTAATAGCCAGAATTTGGAAACAACCTAGATGCCTGTCCACTGAAGAATGAATTAAGAAAATATGGTACATATACACAATGGAGTACCACTCAGCAGATGAAAACAGTGACATCATGAAATTTGCAGGCAAATGGATGGAACTAGAAAATATCATCCTGAGTGAGGTAACCCAGACTCAGAAAGACAAACACGGTATATACTCACTCATAAGTGGATACTAGATATAAAGCAAAGGACAGTCAAACTGCAACCCACAGATCCAGGGAGGCTATATAGCAGGGGGAACCCGAGGATGACTCTGGATTATAATAAGTTTTGGTTTTACCTAATCACTGGGCAAGATATGGTGAAACATTTCACTACTAGGATAATAATTGGTACTGTATCAAGCTGATGAAAGAAAATGCTGGCTGTACATTCAGGAGGGGAGGCTAAAATATTTTTAGAACATGGATTAGCTTATAGAAAAATGTCTACCATAAATCAAATAGTGGAGGGGAAGTTGAATAGGAATCTCACATACACAACTTAAATAAAACATAGCTCTCTGAACAGATGAAGATAGGTCTCTTCCGTATCCCAGAATCTAATCAATATTTATATGTATAATTCAGCTATTATTTGGCTTTAAAGGGCTTATTGGAAAACGTTATCATTTATACTGTTTTCTACAGATAAAATATTTTACTCTTTAAAATAACCCTGGACTTTTAAATTATAACCTGGTTTTATGTGCAGGCTATCTGGGTATTATTTCTCCTGCAGTTGTACATAAGATGTTTTTACGTTAAAAAAAAGGACAAAAAATTTTTCATTGCTACTGCATGACTGTAATTTTGCTACTGTTAAGAAACGCAATGTAAATATCAGACATTCAGGATATCTGATATGTGACCCCCTCGGGGGTTGCAGCCCATAAATTGAGAACCTCTGCCCTAGACTTTTAGGGACCTCAAATTAGGACAAACTGGAGATGTGCCTTGGAGTCTGTAAGGAATTTCACAACTATAGACAGTATGGGAAACAGATTTGGTGACTTTCGTTTGTTTGTTTGTTTTTCGAGACAGGGTTTCTCTGTGAAACAGTCCTGGCTGTCCTGGAATTCACTCTGTAGACCAGGCTGGCCTTGAACTCAGAGCTCTTTCTTTCTGCCTCTGCCTCCCCAGTGCTGGGATTAAAGGCATGTGCCACCACTGCCTGGTGGATTTGGTGACTTTTAAAAAGTTATTTTAATATAGGTTTTAGCACAGGGTTTAAGCCGGGTGGTGGTGGCACACGCCTTTAATCCCAGGATCTCTATGAATTCAAGGCCAGCCTGGTGTACAGAGCAAGTTCCAAGACAGCCAGGGCTAAGCAGAGAAACCCTGTCTTGAAAAACAAAAGAAAGAAAGAATGAATCTCAGATGAAAGACACATCCAGTGTAGATATGAGCTTCCCAAGGGAGAGTGGGGGGAACTAAGAGGCACTCAGTGTAGGTACAGGCTCGTGGGGGGAGTAATTGTCTTAGCATTAGCCACGAGGTCATTTTGTTGACTCTCAGTTACATCTCCAGAGGTTGCTAAGAGAGCACTCTCTCAGTCCCAGGGTAAGGGGGATGGATTCTTTAAGATTTGTCTGTTTGCTTGTTTTTTAAATCTATTTTTATTTTCTGTGTGTGTGAGAGTGCCTACATATATGTCTGGGCACCACATGTGTGCCCGGTATCTGAGGAAGCCAAAAGACAGTGCCAGATCCCCTGGAGCTGGAGTGACAGGCAGTCGTGAGCTGCTGGGTGTGGTCACAAGAAACTGAAGCCCCATCCTCTGGAAAAGCAGCAATTGCTCTTGACTGCCAGGCCATCTCTCCGGCCCTGCATTTAGCAGTCTGAACTAAAAGAACATCATGCAGGGGGCGGTGAGGTGACTTGCCGGTGCAGAGCTTGCCGCCCAGTCTGATGACTGAGTTCAAGTCACATCCATAACGGGGGAAGGAGAGAACCGACTCCCACAAGCTGACCTGTGCCCATGCCGTGTGGCATACACATGCATGTACACATACACAAAATAAGTAGATAAGTGTAAGTTCATTTTTTTTTCATTCTACTTATTTAGAGTGTGTGTGTGCACACATATGCCATGATATGGCAGTCAGAAACCCACTTTTATTAGTCAGTTCTTGCCTTTCTTTCCCTCAGGGATTGAACTCAGGTTTTTGTTGTTGTTGTTGTTGTTTGGTTTGTTTTGTGTGAGACAGGGTTTCTCTGTGTAGTTTGGGAGCCTGTCATGGATTTCTCCCTGTAGACCAGGCTGGCCTCGAACTCACAGAGATCTGCCTGGCTCTGCCTCCCAAGTGCTGGGATTAAAGGCGTGTGCCACCACCGCTCAGCCAAACTCAGGTTTTTAGACTTAATGACAAGTGCCTTTACTCACTGAGCCATCTGGATGACTGCTAATTTAAAAAAAAAAAAATTAAGAGGGCTGGAGAGGTGGCTCAGTGTTTAAGAACACTGGCTGCTCTTGCAGAGAATCTGGCTTTGATTCCCAGCACCCACACGATGGCTCACAACTGTCTATAATTCCAGTGCCAAGGGACCTGATGCCCTCTTCTGACCTCCAGAGACACCAGGCATGTAGACACAGCCATAACTGCAGGCAAAACACCCATACACAAAAAACAAAAATAAATAAATCTATTTTTAAGTTCAAAGTCTCTTCCAAGATTCGAGGCGGTCCCTTAGCTGTGAGCCCCTGTAAAGTCAAAATGAAAGTTCCAGATTCTGATCTACAAAGACAGAGTAAACACTCCGTTCCAAAAATGGAGGAGTGGAAAGATTGAGGGGGGGAAAAAAAAGAAAAGATTGGACCAAAGCAAACCCCAAACCCAACAGGGCGACCCTTAGATCCTGTTCTCCACTGGCAGCATGGGGCACATGATTCCACGTGGGCGTTGGTGCAGCACACACAGGCTCAGTCTAGGCTTGTTCCTCTCCATGCCACTGTCCTTACCAAATGTTGTACATTCTTGGTGTCTTCAACATCCTCAGGTTTCCAGCACAACTTAAACTTCACCTCATGCATTGTCCACTCAAGGTCTTCCTTGAGACACGTTGCCTAGACTTCCAGGCTCTCCTCTCCCACCTTAGTGCAAGCCCCCATGAACCAATAACTCCTGCATTCTGCAGGCCTCTGAAACCAAGTTCTGCTACCCTGAGAGGGAGCTGGACCCCCTGTTACCACAGCTAAAGTGGCCTCTGACTGCCCACATGACTAAACCTGGGAAAACATTTCCTAAAACAGCTTTTTCTGGAAGAGCAGTGCCCCAGGAGTCCAGTACAGGGCATCGGATCCTTTGGACCTGGAGTTAAAGAGAGTTGTAAGTAGAGGAACTGAGTCCAGGTCCTCTGCAAGAACAGAAAATGCTCTTAATGGCTGAGCCATCTCTCCAGCCCCTACAAAAACTTTCTAGGAGAGAGGCTGGCTGGGGGAAGGCTGCCAGGAGGACCAGGGAGATGGGCAGTTCTTGACTTCTGACCCAGACCTCCTCTACCTGCAGATCCAGAAGATCATTAAGGAGCCAGTCCCAGACAGCGGCCTGCTGGGCCTCTTCCAAGGCCAGAACCCCCTCTTGCTGAACTCCAGACCCTGACTTGAGATGGGAGCATCATTTTTCCCTCCTCTCTGAATCCCAGAAGTCCACCTGGAGGCCTGCCTGTGGTAGGGGAGGGATGGTCATGCCTCCTGCTTAAAGAACTGGTCCTGGAAATGCTAATGAACTCTGAGTGCTTGGAAGGGGTGTGGGACATGGGGTTGACTGAGGAGAGGTGGATGAGGGACTCTGCTCAGGTTCCCTTCATGAGGGGGAAAACCAAAGGGCAAAGAAGTGTGACAGACTGGGACCCAGACTCCGAATAAACATTGATGTGGCTGTGGACCAAACCACGATTGGGTTTGTGGGGTGTCACAGGGGCTACTGGGGTGTGCAGGTGGGAGAAGAGGATGAAGTGAGGTGAGGAGAAGGGGGGGGTGCCTCTTCCCAGCCCCAAGCTGGGACTAGACGCAGGCCACATCTGCACAGTAGGCAGCAGAGGCGTCTTGAAGTAGGAGTTTCTGACTGTCCCCATCTCAGGTGGCACTCAGCCCAACTCTGCTGGCTTGCCTTCATAACTCCTGCGTTCTGCAGGCCTGTGAGACCAAGTTCTGCTACCCTGAGAGGGAGCTGGGCCCTGTTACCACAGCTGTAGAGGCCTCTGACTGCCCACACGACTAAACCTGGGGAAACATTTCCCTAAAGAATGGAAAGAGCACCTATTCAGCTTTATAGCATATGCAGGCTTGCACCAGGTGCCAGAGAAGAGCCTGGAAGACCAGGCAGTGTGTGGCAGGGACAGATGTCCTCCATGGAGCCCTTGAATGGGCAACCCATGAACTGTGAAGGAGAACCCTAGGTTGTAGTGGACACACCAGGGTGTTGGGGGTGTCCCTGAAGAGACAGATGTGCTGTTTTCTCAGAGGAAAGTCTTTGAAATGAGTTTGCCTTTCTTTTTTTTTTTTGTTTTTTTTTGTTTTTTGTTTTTTCGAGACAGGGTTTCTCTGTGTAGCTTTGCGCCTTTTCCTGGAACTCACTTGGTAGCCCAGACTCGCCTCGAACTCACAGAGATCCGCCTGGCTCTGCCTCCCGAGTGCTGGGATTAAAGGCGTGCGCCACCACCGCCCGGCCAAGTTTGCCTTTTTATACCCTGGCAACACTCTCAGCCAGTGAAATAAGGGTTACGGGAACACCAGCACTGTGATACTGGACTGTCCTTCTGATACCTGAGATGGTTCCTAAGTGATTAACAGGGGAGTAGCATATACAGCATGGACACACTAGACAAAGAATTTGTCTTCTAACAATGAGGAGTGGATGCATAAGATTTTGTCAGACTACCCAGAATGGCACGCAGATTAAAATGAATGGTTTGTTTCTGGAAATTTCTGTGTGATATTTGAATAACAAGAGTGATTGTGTGTAACTAAAGCTGGAAAGGAAGACCACATATGTGGTGGGTGAGGGAATGGATCTGAATACCACTGGTTTTCCATTTCATTCATGATCTCATGAACTATTTCTTTTAAAATCTCTTCCTGGAGAAAGATAACTATGTTTAGATCAATGGAAGGATTACATACTTGATGCTATTGATCCTGTTTCTCTGGGGAACTTTTTTTTAAGGATTTGTTATTATATATATATATATATATATATATATATATATATATGAGCTCTATCTGCATCTACGCCTTATTGCCAGAAGAGGGCATCAGATCCCACTGTAGATGGTTGTGAGCCACCATGTGGTTGCCGGGATCAGGACCTCTAGAAGAGCAGACAGTGCTCTTAACCACTGAGCCATCTCTCCAGCCCTCTGAGGAACCTTAATGTAGGAAGGATGCATGCTCCGTCTTGGGTCATATGTCATCAGTCAAGGCCCCCTTAAGATTGGGTCTACAAGTCAGAGGCCCTGCTGACTGTGAAGACCATGGATCCCACAGACACAAGGAATTAACTCTCCCTTGTGACTCTGTAAGGGTACTGGAAGCTCAGTGAGACCTCAGCCTTGTGCAACGCAGAGTGAGGACCGGTCACACCCTCATGGAGGGCATCCTCATGGAAGCATTGCGCGCGCGCGCGCGCGCGCGCGCACACACACACACACACACACACACACACACACACACATACACACCCCATTTTCTTGTCACTGTCTGATTTGGAGGGGCCCTTGGGGCTCCTCCTGAGCTGGCTTTTTTTTGTTGTTGTTGTTGCTTGTTTGTGGACACCTCCCTCTCAGATCCTGAGAGACAGGGGCAGACCATGCTTGTCTTGCTGGCCACTGCATCTTGGGGCTCTGCACATGAAGTCTTTAGTGAGTGTGGAATCCCTGAATTCACTCCCCTACACCATTGTGAGCATAGGGTGAAAAGGGCCAAGGAAAAACACCCTGGCCCTGACTTGACTCCAGGACCAGGGTTTGAAATCTCACCACCAATCCCTGAGCTTGCCCCAGATTCAGACCACAAAAATCCACCAATCCCAAGCCACCCTGGAAAGCTCCACACCCCTACCCCAAGAAATCCTGTATAAAGGTCTGTACCCTGTTCAGTTTGCTGCTGTTTCTCACCGTCCTCCTGGGTTCTTCCTTCCCAATAAATCTCTTCAATGACGTTTTGTAGCTAGAGTTTTCCTGCCTGGCCCACAGTCAGTACAAATCTCTGTCACCCGCCAGTCCCACAGCCGCTCAGACCCGACCAAGTAAACACAGAGACTTATATTGGTTACAAACTGTATGGCCGTGGCAGGCTTCTTGGTAAATGTTCTTATAGCTTAAATTAATCCATTTTTATTAATCTATACCTTGCCACATGGCTCGTGGCTTACCGGCATCTTCACATGCTGTTTGTCATCATGGCGGCTGGCAGTGTCTTTCTGACTCAGCCTTCCACTTCCCAGCTCTATTCTCCTCCTTGTCCCGCCTATACTTCCTGCCTAGCCAATGGCCAATCAGTGTTTTATTTATTGACCAATCAACGACACATTTGCCATACAGAACATCCCACAGCAACGTTTTTTGCATGGTTGACTTTGTGGTATTCCTTGGCTCCTGACCGCCAGGATACCTTCCCATCCCAGCTGCCATACTTACAGTGAGGGCTTCGGACAGCGAAAAGAGGGCCTAGTGAATGTACAGGACTTCAACAAACACTCCATGAAGCTGGTCCCCACCCTGGGAGATTCTCATACAAAATGGGATAGGAGGAAAGGGGGCCTGGAGCCTTGAGCCGGGCCTCCCAACATCAGCATGGACATTAGCGCCCCCTGGTGGAACATCCTCAAACGTCACGCTGTGTGTGCTCAGGCCAGATGAGAAGGCGGGTGGATGTTTCTCTTGGCTCCTAGGAGCGAGAAATCTAAGTCAGCTTCTGGAGCTGGGCTAGCAAGAGTGCTGTCCTAGATACAGCAGCGGTGACCCCTGGCTGGCCCTTGGAGTCTGAGCCTTTCATTCTACTCTCCAGAGACCTGAGAGGACACATCCAGCAACTCCTTACTAAGGAATCCCAGCCTTCCCCACCCACGAAGATTTGCAAAGAACCGACTGTATCTGGAGGTGGAGACAAGCCATTGTCTCCTTCCTTAAGGTCTAGGAAGGCAGGTTCACCTTAAGATAATACGTTCTTCCTTCCCAGAATTCTCGCCCACTGCTGCGGTCCCAGGAGCCACCGTGAGGTTCGGCCGGTCTGTGTATCTTTCCTTAGAAAAGCGTAACTAACTTTATTTTTCTTCTTCTCCCATCAGATTCTGGCCAGAGCTTGAGTGTGCTTTGGGCTTCCTTGGTCTTTCTCTAAAGTGTCGTCCTTGCCGTATGGCTACCTGCAGTCCAGTGGCTGACCCCCATGATCATCTTCTCCATCCCCCTCCTCCTGGCAACTGTCAGATGTACAACTTGCCTGCCCTGGGGTTTTCCTTTATAAACGCTGATAAGTTGTCCTAAAGCTTCCATCTAAGTCTTAATTCTTTTATTAATGAAACTAAGAACACCCTGGGGGGACCCTGATTCCCCCTCCCCTGTATCATGATGGTTTCTGCTGGGATGCCTGAAGAGATCTGGTAAACATTTCCATCCTGGCTTTTAATTCTTTAAATCAGCAGAGAAAATACCTGTATGTGCATCACTAGATGGTAACACACACACACGTGCACACACAGAGATGACACGCACACATGCACACACACACACACAAACACACGCACGCGCGCGCGAGAACTGACCCTGATCAAGATAAAAAGGCAGCCACAGCCAACAGTGAGGAGCATGCAGAGAATAGAGTATGGCGGTGTACTCTTGTAATCCCAGCCCTGGGAAGGTGGAGACAGGAAGACCAGAAAGTCCAGGACCATCCTCAGCTACCTAGTGCATGAAAATGAAGACATGACCACTCCTAGGTGTGGTTGAGGAGAAGATTTTGTTATAGATATGAGAGAGAGCATAGCCAGAGGAAGGGTCCCGACTGAACCGGGGCGTGAGAGGAGGAGAGTGGGGAGAGCGAGTGAGGAAGAGGAGGGAGACGCAGAGAGGCAGAGGGAGGAGCATGTGGGATCCAAGAGAGAGTGTGTGGACCAAGAGAGTGGAAAGCTATATAGGGATCAGAAGCTGGGGGACGGGAAGCGAAGCCAGCCCCTGGGAGGGATAAGTTTACGGTAGGGGGCAGGGTGAGAGGTACTGGGAAGAGCCACAGGTACCGGGTGAGACTTGTCCTGGGGTTCTTCGGGACCTGACACATATTAAGTTCAAGGCCAGCCAAGAGCCACATTAAGATCCTGTCTCAAAAAATGAAATAAATGGGGTGATGGTGTTGCACGCCTTTAATCCCAGCACTCGGGAGGCAGAGGCAGACAGATCTCTGTGAGTTCAAGGCCAGCCTGGTCTACAGAGTGAGTTCCAGGACAGGCGCCAAAACTAAACAGAAACTCTTTCTCAAAAAACCAAAATAAATAGATAGATAGATAGATAGATAGATAGATAATAGCCTAAGAGACACAAGGAGTCTCCAGAGACCCCGAGGAGAGCCAAGAAAGACCGGCACCGTGGGAGACAGAATCAGAGACACTGGAGAGGAGGGAAGTGCAGACCCCAGGGAAAGGACTGGTTGGATGGGGCTACGGGACAATGTAAGGATGAAAGGCATAGCTTGATAGCCGGGAAGCTAGTGAGAATCAGGAACGTTTAGAGGTGGGAGAGATGGAGGGACAGAATTCAGGAAGACTTTGTTTTTATTTTTATTTTTTAATTTTATTTATTCATTCATTCATTTATTTATTTTTGAGACAGGGTTTCTCCGTATAGCCTTGGCTGTCCTGGAACTCACTCTGTAGACCAGGCTGGTCTTGAACTCACAGAGATCTGCCTGCCTCTGCCTCCGGAGTGCTGGGATTAAAGGCGTGCGCCACCACCGCCCGGCTCAAGAAGACTTCTAAGATAACTAGAGGCACCAGAGAAATGGAGACCCTGACTATCCCCAATATAGACACCTGCCACAAGTGGCTGATTCTGTCTCTCAACACCAGGAGCCAACCCCAGGTCCCCGGGACCTCCGTCAGGCAGCTCACAGCTGCCTGTAACTCCATCTCCAAGGGACCCAATACCCTCTACCCGAAATTGCCCTCGCATGCACACACCCTCACAACAGACATACACGCATAAAAATAAATCTTTAAACCAAACCCCCCGGGGGAGACCGCCAGCAGAGTTTTCTTCTCCCCACTCCTCCGAACTCTAACCTGGTCCCCTGCTCACCCACAGCATCATTCTCAGGATTCAGCAGCCAGAGCTCCTAAGAAGCCGGCTCCTCTTGCAGCCCAGAGACCTGAGGCATCAATTTCTCCTTAATGATTCTGCCCCCACCCCAACAAAGAAGTAGACCCTGTGGAGTGGGGTGAGCCTGGGGCTGATGGGCTGATGTGGAGCTCTTGACTCACACCTGGAGGCGCTGACACCCTTCTCAGAGACCGGACCCTTCTTCCAACCACCAGCAATCCCCTCCCCAAGTCTCCTTCTAAAAGCCCTCGACATTAATCGCTCCGGTTGACTCTGCGCTTGCCTTGGCCTTGCTAAAGAGGCTTTTGTCCCCTTAATTGGCTATTTCCAGGAGCTTTTCCCTGCCTCCGAACCCACGCGCCCCTGTTTTATATCCCAGGCCCAAGTATGTGTTAATTGGGCATGTAGGAGATGCGTAGAGAGCCCCCTCCCCACCCTGCCCTTGCGTTCCTATAACAGCCCCTGACCTGCAGTCATCGCAGTGGGACGGGGTGGCTTCTCATTCCGCAGTGCCAGACCTTGAGACCACATACTCCCGTCCCATCTCTGGTTGGAGGGGCGATTTCTGATCTGCATTGTAACTCCAGAGCAACCAGCCATGCACCCTGGGTTCCCTGCGGCTCCTGGGGTCTCCGAGCCAGGGCCCCGAGAGCTGTGTGCCTTTGTGAGCGGGGCTTCAGCCCACATGCTTCGGGCCCTGCAGCCCAGGCGTACCAGGCCCCCCAAGCGCCGGCCCAACCACCGGAGGTTTCTACACAACCAGATCTGCAGGTGAGGAGGGGTGTTGGGGGGGAAGCACCGGGTGGACGCCAGGAGGCCCCTAGGCTGAATTCAGCACCATTTAGCGTGCATTTACCGCGCACTTTCTGTGTGCTAGAGTCAACATCCATCACAGAGCAGGGCCAAGGAAGTCCCTGTGGGGAGGCAGAAGGTAAGAAATGGCCTGAATCAATAAATATATGAGCCAGGCTTTGTGTGACAAGACTGTAATCCTAACACTCCCGAGGCCGAGGCAGGGGGATTGCTGAGTTTGCAGCCAGTTTACTGTAGCATGAAAGAGGCCAGCCAGGACCAGGCGGTGGTAGCGCACGCCTTTAATCCCATCACTCAGGAGGCAGAGTTAGGCGGATCTCTGTGAGTTAGAGGCCAGCCTGGTCTACAGAGTGAGAGCCAGGAAAAAAAAAACAAAAAGAGGCCAGCCAGGTTAGGTAATAAGATTCTGCCTCAAAAATAAACTAAATAAATAAGTGAATAAATAAACAAACGAGAGGATATGGCACCACCTTGTGGGTGTACCTTGAAAAGAAGATTTAAGAGAAAGTGGATCTCAGCTCTCCAGCGGGATCCCATGAAGACAGAAGCCCCACAAAGATGCCAGGCACACACTGGCAGAGAGGCAGTGGTAACAGGTAAGAGGTCCCCTTTGAAGAGGACAAAAGTCCTGGAGCTAATTACAAGTATTGGTTGTACAAGACAGTGAACACTGATCCAGTGTGGTGGCACATGCCTGTAACTCCAGAGGCTGAGGCAGGAGGATTGCTGCTAGTTGCATGCCAGCCTGGTCTACATAGGAAGTTCAAGGCCATCCTGGGCTGCACAGTGAGGTCTTGTGTCAAAAAGACAGGCGTGGGAGTCTGTGGGAGTCCAGCTCCAACCTTCTCCCACCTTTCGAAGAGTTCTCGGGTGGAGGAGAGAGGAATGAGAAAATATTAGGTAGAAAGATAGACAGAGACGATAATCCCAGCACTCGGGAGGCAGAGCCAGGTGGATCTCTGTGAGTTCGAGGCCAGCCTGGGCTACAGAGTGAGATTCAGGACAGGCACCAAAACTACACAGAGAAACCTTGTCTCGAAAAACCAAAGAGAGACAGAGAGACAGAGAGAGAGAGAGAGAGAGAGAGAGAGAGAGAGAGAGAGAGAGAGAGAGAGAGAGTAAGAAAGACAGAGATACAGGATAACCCTGGATCAATATCCAGTCATGCCCAGAGCTTTATTCAAAAAGGCTTTTTATAATATGCCAAGAAGAGAGGCAAAAGACCTCCCCCTTGCAAGATCAAAGCACACCGCACAGCCAAGTGTAGACCCTTCCAAACACCTGGTTAACATGCCTGTGGCCAAATCATCTCCTTATGCAGCCCTGCTGGGTAAAGCAAAGCCAGATTCTCTGACCCTGAGTAAAGTCTCACTAAGGAGCCTCTGTGGGTCCCCAAGTGGGGGGCTGATGGCTGATGGGAAGGTGTGCTACAAGCCCAAAAATATATAAAGTAGGATTTCAGGTGATTATGACAAAGCTAATACATAGAAGAAGCCAAGGGCCTTCCAGAGGTCAAGCCGAGGCTCAAGGAGCCTTGGTGATATTTGGCCTTTGATTATCAGCCGTTTCCTGCTATGAGTTTCTCATGTGCTGTTGTAGCTTTTCCGTCATTTATTGGACACCATTTCCTTTTTACTAATAGAGTATTTTGATAACATTCTGCGCTGACAGCTATGCACATCCAGAACCCTAGTTCAAGCCTCCCGTAATTATTGTCATTGGCAGCATCTGGCCAGGACCATCCCTGGAGGGATGAAAGGTACCTTATCAGAGATGCCTCTGTACTCTCTAAGAACAGACTTAAGCATCCAAGGACAAACAAAACAGCACCTGTCTCCTAGGTTAGGGGATAGCTTTATTTCCTGTGCAATTTGCAGTGAGACCCTCCTTTCTTACAGCCTTACTTATAGACTCCTAATTCCTTACCTAACCACTTCTAGGAATGTAGCTGAGCACATAGATCCCCTTCTTGATATGCTAACTGATCATTAGCTCTCAATTGACCTCTGCCCCGGCCAGCAGGGTGTCAACCGGGGCGACCCACCTGCGGGAGAGAATGAGAGGGACGGGAGACACGAGAGAAGACAGCAAGACAGTGTTCTGATCAAGCTGCAAATTTTATTCTCCTCAGCAAGGCTTATATATGGAGGGGGAGGGAAGGAGGGAAGGGGTGCACGACGTGCCATACGTGCAGATGAAGGGGGACATGCAAGTCGTGAGGGTGTTGTGCTAGGTGGTAAGGTCACTGGTCAGGGCCCATTGTTCTGTTGCTATGCTACCTGACCTACCTGACCTATTCTTTATCTTTAGGGCATCTGGTTTAGGGCAGGGGCTTGTTCTCTGGCCTAGCTAGTACTTTTCCATGGTCCATGTTTGGTCCCTGACAGACCTCCTCCTTTAACCACTCCATGTTCAGGTTGTAAGAGAAAGCCTGACAGTCACTGCCTGAGGAAAATTCTCACCTGCCTTTATGACCCCGTAAGAATTCAAGCATCGCTATTGCTTGGGTTTATAACTGAACACCTCAGAGATTTGGGAGGACTTAGAGGTATAAGGAGGCAGAGAAGAAGACTGGAGAACTTGAGGACAAGATGGAAGATGAAGAAGAGTCAGATGGGGAAGTACTAGCTGGGTAAAAATGAGATGAGAAGGACCTAGATGAGGCAGAGTTAAGATGAGAGAATTAAGATAGAACTTAGAGGGGACAGCAGATAAATATAGAGAGAAATCAGGAAAGAAAGGAGCTAGGCATGAGAACAGAACTGAAGCTGTGTAGATAGGATTTTATCCCAGAGGAATAAAGTAGATGGACAAAGAGCTTGGTGTACTCAGATTCTTTTTGTTTGTTTGCTTTTTGTTTTTTGTTTTTTTTCGGTCCCCACCCCCTCAGACAGGGTTTCTCTGTGTAGCTTTCCGCCTTTCCTGGAACTCACTTGGTAGCCCAGATTCGCCTCGAACTCACAGAGATCCGCCTGGCTCTGCCTCCCAAGTGCTGGGATTAAAGGCGTGCGCCACCACCGCCCGGCCTGTACTTAAATTCTTTTCCCCAAAATAATTCTCACCATTCGTAGTTTCTCTCCTGAGCCCCTGGGAATTATTAAGGCTGGTCCTATAATAATATACAAGAGAGGTGTGTGTGTATTATCAGGTTGGTCGGAAAAGAACTCCAGTTTTGAACTATGTATTTTAAATCATTATAAGTAGGTTCACCAAACATCCAATTTTCAAAAGTGGAGTGAATTGGGCTGTGAGGTTTCCCCTCGTCTGCCATAGCCACCTGACCTTTGGACAACTGGTTGACACTTTTTCAAGCAGCTCCATATATCAGTGGTTCTCAACCTGTGTGTCTCGACCCCCCTTGGGAGCTGAATGACCCTTTCACAGAGGTCGAATATCAGAGATCCTGCGTATCAGATATTTACATTATGATTCATAACAGCAGTAAAATTACAGTTATGAAGTAGCAACAAGAATAAATGTATGCTTGGAGGTCACCACAATATGAGGAACTATATTAAAGGGTTGCAGCGTTAGGAAGGTTGAGAAATAGTGCCATATAGGGTTTTTTAAGATTTATTTTTTAAGTCAGGCGGTGGTGGCACATGCCTTTAATCCCAGCACTCAGGAGGCAGAGGCAGGCGGATCTCTGTGAGTTTGAGGCCAACTTGGGCTACAGAGTGAGATCCAGGAAAGGCGGAAAGCTACACAGAGAAACCCTGTCTCGAAAAACCAAAAAAAAAAATTATTTTTAATTAGGTGTATGCTGTGTGTGTGTGTGTGTGTGTGTGTGTGTAAAAATAAACAGATCTTTTTTATTCAAAATAGGAACCATAACAATCAACACATTTTTACCAAAGAGAAATAAGGGTTATTTATTATTATTATTCCTGTAGTGTAAAAATCCAAGCTTGGAGGGGCAAGAGAGACGGCTCAAGGGTTAAGAGGGAGTACTGCTCTTCCACAGGACCCAAGTTCAATTCCCATCACCTATGTTGGAGATCTGAAGCCCTCTTCTGGCCTCCATGGGCAACTACACTCACATGCACACACACACACACACACACACACACACACACACACACACACACACACCATACATCTAATTAAAAAGAAATCTTTAAAAACCACATATGGAGATGCTTGAAAAATGGCAACCAGTTGTCCAGAGGTCAGGTGAATATGGTTGACAGGACAAAACCTCACAGCCCAATTCGTTCCACTTTTGAAACCTGGATGTTTGATGAGCAGTCAGGTACTGTCATGGGAAAGATCTGGTCCTTTTCTGTTGGCCAATGCCAGCTACAGGCATCAAAGTCCTGGGTGCATCTCATGGATTTGCTGAGCACATGTCGCAGATGTTACGGTTTTGCTGGATCCAAATAGCTTAGGGGGTCAGACTGGCTGCAGGTCACCGAACAGTGACCTGTGATCTTTTTTGCCCCACGTTAGCTTTGGGACGTGCTGTGGGGCTTCTCCTCTGTCCAGCTGCCGGGCTGGCCTTTGCCTGTTGTTGTACACAATCCATTTCCCATTGCATGTCACAATCCAATCAAGAAATAGTTCTTGGGCTGGGCATGGTGGTGCATGCCTTTAATCTCAGCACTCGGGAGGCAGAGCCAGAAAAGCTCTGAGTTCAAGGCCAGCCTGGTCTACAGAGTGAGTTCCAGGACAGCCAGGGCTACATGGTGAGACCTTGTCTCACACAAAAACAACAACATAGTTCGTTGTTGTATAGAAGGACCCAGTTCTAAATGATTCTTCTTCTTCTTTTCTTTCTTTAAAATTTTGTTTGTTTGTTTTTTTGAGGGCTTTTGTTGTTGTTGTTGTTGTTGGTTTTTTTTTGTTTTTTTTTTTTTTTGAGACAGAGTTTCTCTGTGTAGCCCTGGCTGTCCTGGAACTCTCTCTGTAGACCAGGCTGGCCTTGAACTCCCAGAGATCCTCCTGCCTCTGTCCATCCCCCCTTGGGATTAAAGTGCTGGGAATAAAGGTGTTCACAGTCAGCTTGTACAGTATCCATCTATCAAGCATTTTCACTTTTTTTTATTTGCTTCAAAATGCCAAATGGCTCCTAATCTCCTTTGAAAAACTTCTTGAACAACAAGAAAGAAGAAGAAACAGAGAAGAGGGGGAGGAAAGAAAAAAGAAAAAACCTACTTTAAAAAAAAAAAAGGTTTATTTATTTATTAAGTATACAGTGTTCTGCCTACATGTATGTCTGCAGGCCAGAAGAGGGCACCAGATGTCATTACAGATGGTTGTGAGCCACCATGTGGTTGCTGGGAATTGAACTCAGGACAGGCAGCCAGGGCTCTTAACCTCTGAGCCATCGCTCAGCCCCCCTGCATTTTTTTTAGACAGGGTCTCTCTAAGTAGCCCTGACTGTCTTGGAACTCACTTTGTAGACCAGGCTGGCCTTGAACTCACAGAGCTGCACCTGTCTCTGCCTCCCGAGTGCTGGGATTAAAGGTGAGTATGAAGGTGTGTATCAGCACAAACCCCGCAAACCGGTTGTCTTGAGCCACCATAGATAGTCCTGTTTATTCCTTAGCAGTTCCTGGACCAAACACCTTGTTGATGTTTCAAGTTGTCTTTGTTGCTTTATTTTGTACTCAAATTTAAAAAAAAAATCAGATTTACTTTTTGTATGGTGTCATTTCCATAGTACAAAAACTATAAATAGTCAATTAGCAAAATAACATAGAGTGAGACGTGTGGGTTGGAACGATGTTTAACATAACCATGTTTGTTAATAACGTATCCAGTATTAGACTTCAAGTTGCAATGATACAAAGCTAAACCCATTCCGTGCCAACCTTGCACCGTGCTTGCTTAGCAGAATGGAGTTCAGGTTCCAGCCTCATCGCAGCGTAAAACCAGGCATGGTAGTCACGGCACCCAGGAGGTGGAGGCAGGAGGACCGGGAGTTCAGAAGTAAAAAGATATTGACTATCCTACACGCCTCAACACCAGAGAATTAACTGGCCACTTTGCGGGGAGGGTGGCAAAGGGTCTTGGGTGTGCTGGGCTGACCTCAAACTCAATTACACAGCAAAGGATGGCCTGAATTCCTGACCCTCAGCCTCCTCCCGATTCAACCTCACAGGCGTACACACCACGCCAGCTCAGGGAGGCAGGGGATCAGGAATTCACGGTCATCTGCTGCACAAGGGTTTTGAGTCCAGCCTGGGCTTCGCACAAGACCCCCCGTCTCTGAGCAAACGAAACAGTGACATTTATGTTACGTCCGTGTTTACCTGGACTTTAAACATTAGACTACGTTGGAAGGAGGAAGAAACGGGATGGAGGGAGTGTGATTGTTTTTTTTTTTTTTTTTTTCGTTTTTCGAGACAGGGTTTCTCTGTGTAGCTTTGCGCCTTTCCTGGGACTCGCTTGGTAGCCCAGGCTGGCCTCGAACTCACAGAGATCCACCTGGCTCTGCCTCCCGAGAGGGCTGGAGAGATGGCTCAGCCGTTAAAGGCTAGGCTCACAACCAAAAATATAAGAGTGTGATTGTTTTAAAGGAGGAGGCCAAGGGAGCCTCACCGGGAGAGTGGGCTTGAGCAAAGCCTTGGGGAAGGTGAGAGAAGGGGCGTGCTCAGGCGCTGGCACTGAGGGTAGCGGGATGGTGGTGATATTGAGGGTGGTGACGGTAAAGACAGGAAGATGATGATGGTGACGATGATGGTGATGGTTGTAATGGCAGTGGTGGTGATTTTGGTGACGATGGTGATGGTGGTGATAATCACGATGGTGCCGATGGTGATGATAATCACGATGGTGGCGATGGTGATGGTAATGTTGGTGCCGATGGTGGTGATAATAATGGTGGCTATAATGAAGATGGTGGTAGTGATGAATTACAATTGCATGACACTTAAATGGACCACACGCTCTACCGAGCACTTGACTCTTAACTCATGAGTGAGCACTCATTCACAATGAGTACACTTCTGATCCTCCTGCCTCCACTGACCAAGTGCTGGGATTCAGGTGTGCACCACCACACCCAGTCTACTCGGTGCTGGGGATCTGACCCAGGGATTTCTTTGTTTTGTTTTTGTTTTTCAAGACAGGGTTTCTCTCTGTGTGTAGCTTTGGAGCCTGTCCTAGAACTCACTCTGTAGCCCAGGCTGGTCTCAAACTCACAGAGATCCGCCTGCCTCTGCCTCCCGAGTGCTGGGATTAAAGGCGTGTGCCACCGCCGCCCAGCTTGACCCAGGGATTTGTGCATGCTAGGCAAGCACTCTGCTAATTGAGCTACGTTCCCAACCCTGGGGGAGTAATTATTCCTCGAATCTGTGTGTGTGTGTGTGTGTGTGTGTGCGCTGTTATTGCTGTTGTTGCTGTTATTTTGAGATAGAGAATTTCTATGCCCTGGTTCTCATTATGTGAGCCAGATTGATCTCAAACACCCACCAGTCCTCCTGCTCCAGCCTCCAAGAGAATTGAGATTACGTATGTGTAGTACCGCGCCCGGCTGATTCTGGATTATTATTTAATATTCTCTCTGTGTGTGTCTCTCTCTCTCTCCCTATCTCCCTCTCCTTTCTGTCTCTGGATTTTTACTTTGTTGACGTGGGATCTCATATAGCCCAGGCTACCTCCAAATTCAATATGTGGTCGAGGATGGCATTGGATGCTTGATCCTCCCGCCTCCATCTTCCCGGCGCTGGGACCACAGGTGCGTGCGCTGCACCTGCTCTGCGTGGATGTTAGGGGAGCTAAAGCTAGCCTGGCAGGATCTGCCTCTGAGTCCGCAGCATTCTAACGCCCCGCAGGCAGGAAGTGTGACGCAATCAATCAGCCCTGTGTGTAGACTCTTTATCTCAGGTGTGGCTTTTCCCCTCTCTTTGAAAGTTTCAATTTTAAAAAATTAGTATACAAAGTAACTGGTTTCCTTGTGGGCTTCTCTTACTTTTTTTAAACATTTGTTTATTATTTTATGTGAGTGTTTTGCCTGCTTCTGCGTCTGTGCACCACACACCATGTAGTGCCCTCGGGGGGCCAGAAGAGGGCACCAGCTCCCTTGGCACTGGAGTTACAGATGACCCTAAACCTCCATGTAATGGTTGTGCTGGGAATGGAACCCAGGTCCTCTACCAGAGCAGCCTGGGCTGCTAACCATTGGGCCATCTCTCCAGCCCCGCCCACCGCATTTTCAGACACGCTGTTTGTGTTGACGTTCCCACCCGCACCCCTGCGCCCGCAGTTACCGCCTTTGCCCTTCCGGATCACGGGTGTTCTATCACCTCCGCACCTCCCTTCCTTAGAGCTTCCCGTCTCCTCTCCTGCTCTTATTCTCCTTTCCCCGTCCCGACCCACACTCACTCCCACAGAAATACAACTGTATACAGATCAGCCGCTGCGGGCCAGCTAGAGGGCTCAGCTTGCGAGGGCCCTGGCTTTCTGAGAAAGCCTGGCTTTCTGAGACAGATATCAGGAGCAGGGCTGAAGAGACGGCCCAGTTGTTAAAAATACCCCGCTGCTCTTCCAGAGGGCCGGAGTTCAGCTCTCAGCACACAAGCCTCTGGCCTCTACAGGCAACCAGATACATTAAGAAAAACACTTTTTAAAAACCAGAAATCCTGCCGGGCGGTGGTGGCGCACGCCTTTAATCCCAGCACTCGGGAGGCAGAGGCAGGTGAAACTCTGTAAGTTCGAGGCCAGCCTGGTCTATAGAGCCAGTTCCAAGCCAGCCAAGGTCGCATAGAGAGACCCTGTCTTAAAAACTAACAAACAAAAAAATTTAAAACAACAACCAGAAATCCATATAAAGCTGTCCTCTGACCTTCACGTGTGGTATGGAGAGAGGGGCAGGAAGGAGATGGAGAATCACACACACAAAATAAATAAACGCAAAAAAAAAGAGCTATTTCAAATAATAACCAAAATTCAATTTTTAGAAAGAAAAGAATTTGGGGGACACAGTTCAGCCCGTTGTTCATGAAACACATCCGTGTGACTGCTGAGGGGGTGGAAGTGAGGAGCCAGGAGAGATCAGTGTTTTAGCTTCTGGCAAGAGACGCAAGGGAGCGGGCAGAACTGTGGGATGCACACTCAAGCCATCGGCATGGCCGAGCACGCTGGCCCGGGCTCCCTTTGGATTATTGATCGGAAAGGCGCTCTTCCCCGGAGACGGTTCATTTTTATGTATTGGAATAGGGTTGTAATAAATCTTCACTGTCAAGATGCGAGGTGCACAACCCTGCAGCAATCAGAACTTCCTTGGAAGACATATTGACTTGCCAGACTGAAGAAAATGAAGGCAGGGTCCAGGAAATGAGCAGGGAGGGGGGAAAATGGGGTTGAGAAGAAAGGACATGTATCTCTGGGTGAAGCGGGAAATAATTAGAAGAGAGGTCTTTTGCAGGCAAAGCTGAGATTCTCTCTCTTTCTCTCTCTCTCTCTCTCTCTTTCCAGGCAGTTTGCCAAGATTGAAGCCGCCACCCAGCACCTGGCCCTCTCCATCCTGTCTCAAAAAGCACCTCCCCAGAGACCACGGCCCCGAAGGCCACCTCCACCACCTCCATCCCCCTTCTTGGGAGTGGCCTGTGCTGAGGCCCCCATGGAAATGCCCCACGACGGCCCCAGCCTGAGCCTAGCTGCCCTGGACACCTCAACCCTCGACCTCTTTGATGACATTCTGCTCACTCCTGCGTGTCCCTGGGTGGCTCCTGACCGTTTCTGTCAGACGCTGGCTGCCGGTATTTCCCGGGAGGCATCTGGTTTCATTTCTCACGCCCCAGGCCCCGGAGACCTGAGACAGCCAACCCCTACGCAGGCTCCAAGGTTCTCCAATCCTCTGTCCCCTCCCCAGAATGCCCACGGGGGAAGCACAGGGCCTGCGGCTCTAGGCTGGGGTTGGGTGGATAGCTGGGAGGTACCTTGTGCCTGGGGTCCTCAGGGAATCCGGGATGGCTGGGGAACCCTTTGAAACCTATTCACGACACAGTCCAAACCCTCTCCCCTTGACAGACCTGAGGATATACACAGCTCAGCTGGTAGAGCGCTTGCCTGACACACAAGAGACCCTGGGCTCCATCCCCAGAACCTGTAACCCTGTAGAATAAACCAATCCCAGACTACCACGGTGTACCACAGCCCAGAGCTCTGCTCCCAGACCCAGGGCCGCCACCTCTGCCCACTTTGAGGACCCCTTGCACTCCCTGCCCATGAATTCTCCTTTCTCCCTTCCCAGCACAGGCTGCTCCCCTCCCACACCCCACTCTTCTCTGCCTGGTATCTGCGCTCTCTCAATAGTCCCCCAATTCCGCTGAACACCGCTATGGGCCAGGCCCAGGACTTGCTGTTAGTACGCTGAAACAGAGTAGGCAAGATCCCCAACCCTCGGAGCTCAAGCAGGGTGTGTGTGTGTGTGTGTGTGTGTGTGTGTGTGTGTGTGTGTGTGTGTGTGAAACATGGAACCCTCAGAGAGCTTTGGCAGCAAGATGAAGTCCCAATTTCTGATTGGAACAAGTGTGATATAAATAAAGTGTGCTGTTGACTGAGTGGCTACTGGGCATGGAACGATCAGGGAAGGTCTGGGATGCTGAGCAGAATCAGGCTGTAGGAAGGCATGGGGTCCAGGACCAGGAACCAGGAACGGCACAGCAAAGGCCCTGAGGGAGGACTCTGGGGGAGCTAGGGAGGCCAGTGTGGCTGGAGGCTCCTGAGTATGCAGAGGGAGGTGAGGCCCATCATGAGTTGGGGAGAATTTGGACTTGGTTTTTATTTTTATTTTGTTTGTTTGTTTTTAAGACAGTGCTGGGATTGCAGGCCTGTGCTGCCAGGCGTCCCTCTCATCTCTGAGGGTCTTAATGTCCCTCACAGATACGATCTAGTCTTTCTGTCCTGGTCAGGGCAAGCCCTGCCTTTCTGTGTGTACAGACATGTGTCTCTTTGTCCTAGACACGCATTCTTGGGTTTGGGGAAGGGCCTGGGGTGGGGTGGGGCTGCTGTCCTGTCCTCCAGCTCCCGGGTCGCCAAAGGGAAGCCTGGGATTCCTCCCTGAGGAGCTGCAGGGAGTGGAGTCCAGACATCTGGAGAGTTGGAATCCAGGCTCAGACTCAAAGCTGGCCAGGGGGAGCCACTGCTGGGCTAGGGCAGCGTACTCTGGCCAGCCCAGCCCCAGAAGCTGACTTTCATCCTGGGCTCCCAGGAGCCCAGAGCCACAGCATCCGCCCGCCCTACCAAGCCAGGCAGGACCCGAGCGCACTAGCTTGTGGCTCGGGGATGCTCCACGAGGGGGCGCCAGTGTCTCTGAATCGCTCAAGCTGGGTGCCGGCTTTATGGTCTGAGAACCTGCACACTGACATGGGCTGACAGGCAGGCATTCAGCAGTCTCCCCTCACCTGTCTTGAGGCCCCCAACGGTGTGCAGAGGTGGGAACAGTGTGCAATTAAGTTATTCAACAACAACAAAAAAAACAAAAACAAACAAACAAAAAAAAAACCGTGAACACGTATGTGTAGAGTCTGTGGATGCAGCCGCAGGCAAGGTTGTCCCTGGAGCTGGGAGCGAGGTGTCCACAAACAAATGAGAAAATGCCCGCTCAGGAGGGACACAGCAATACGGGGTAGGGCTGAGTTGCTGCTTCCGTGAGAACACCCTCTCTGTGGGTGTCACATGTCCATGGCATCCATGGTGGTCCTCAGTTTTCAAGGCCAGCAATATCTACAACCTACAGACTCAGTCCTAAGGGGCTTGACCAATGGCCTGTGATCCCAGCTGAGTATCTTCCCTATATCAGGGTTCTCCAGAGAAACGGAAACAGGATGAGCAGGATCAAGTATCTACCCTGCAGTCCAGGGACAGACACACTGACACAGCTACCTCTCCCTAGCGGTTATGAAGAATTAGTTCATGGGACATCCCAGGAAATCTAGTGATTTCCTCCCTCCCTTCCTCCATGTAATCTGAGGTCTCTGTTTCGAGTTTAGTTCAGTCACTCTTGGTCTTCAGATATCACACAGAAAATTCCTCATTTTAATCTGCGTGCCATTCTGAGTAGTCTGACAAAATCTTATGCATCCACTCCTCATTGTTAGAAGACAAATTCTTTGTCTAGTGTGTCCATGCTGTATATGCTACTCCCCTGTTAATCACTTAGGAACCATCTCAGGTATCAGGACAGTCCAGTATCACAGTGCTGGTGTTCCTGTAACCCTTATTTTACCGGCTGAGAGTGTTACCAGGTATAAAAAGGCAAACTCATTTCAAAGACTTTCCTCTGAGAAAACAGCACATCTGTCTCTTCAGGGACACCCCCAACACCTTGGTGTCTCCACTACAACCTAGGGTTCTCCTTCACAGTTCATGGGTTGCCCATTCAAGGGCTCCATGGAGGACATCTGTCCCTGCCACACACTGCCTGGTCTTCCAGGCTCTTCTCTGGCACCTGGTACAAGCCTGCATGATGCTATAAAGCTGAATGGGTGCTCTTTCCATTGTTTAGGGAAATGTTTCCCCAGGTTTAGTCGTGTGGGCAGTCAGAGGCCTCTACAGCTGTGGTGACAGGGCCCAGCTCCCTCTCAGGGTAGAACTTGGTCTCACAGGCCTGCAGAATGCAGGAGTTATGGAGGCAAGCCAGCAGAGTTGGGCTGAGTGCCACCTGAGATGGGGACAGTCAGAAACTCCTACTTCAAGACGCATCTGCTGCCTACTGTGCAGATGTGGCCTGCGTCTAGTCCCAGCTTGGGGCTGGGAAGAGGCACCCCCCCCTTCTCCTCACCTCACTTCATCCTCTTCTCCCACCTGCACACCCCAGTAGCCCCTGTGACACCCCACAAACCCAATCGTGGTTTGGTCCACAGCCACATCAATGTTTATTCGGAGTCTGGGTCCCAGTCTGTGACACTTCTTTGCCCTTTGGTTTTCCCCCTCATGAAGGGAACCTGAGCAGAGTCCCTCATCCACCTCTCCTCAGTCAACCCCATGTCCCACACCCCTTCCAAGCACTCAGAGTTCATTAGCATTTCCAGGACCAGTTCTTTAAGCAGGAGGCATGACCATCCCTCCCCTACCACAGGGCAGGCCTCCAGGTGGACTTCTGGGATTCAGAGAGGAGGGAAAAATGATGCTCCCATCTCAAGTCAGGGTCTGGAGTTCAGCAAGAGGGGGTTCTGGCCTTGGAAGAGGCCCAGCAGGCCGCTGTCTGGCACTGGCTCCTTAATGATCTTCTGGATCTGCAGGTAGAGGAGGTCTGGGTCAGAAGTCAAGATCTGTCCATCTCCCTGGTCCTCCTGGCAGCCTTCCCCCAGCCAACCAGTCTCGTAGAAAGTTTTCCTGGGGGCTGGAGAGATGGCTCAGCCATTAAGAGCATTTTCTGTTCTTGCAGAGGACCTGGGCTCAGTTCCCACCATCCACATAGCCGCTCACAACTCTCTGTAACTCCAGGTCCAAGGGATCCGATGCCCTGTACTGGACTCTTTGGGCACTGCACATGTGGTACACAAGGCGTACATACGGGCAAAGCATCCACATACATAAAGTAAAATAATGTTTTAAAACAAGTCTTCCTGGGCTAGGCATGGAGGCGAATGCATGCCTTTAATCCTAGCACTTGGGAGGCAGAGGCTGCCATATCTCTGAATTTGAAGCCAGTTAGAGTTCCAGATCAGTCATGGTTACATAGTAAGTCTTGTCTTTAAAAAAAAAAAAAAAGGAAAAAGAGGGCTGGAGAGATGGCTCAGAGGTTAAGAGCACTGCTTGCTCTTCCAGAGGTCCTGAGTTCGATTCCCAGCAACCACATGGTGGCTCACAACCATCTGTAATGAGATCTGGTGCCCTTTTCTGGCCTGTAGTCATACATGCAAGCAGAACACTGTATACACAATAAATAAATCTTAAAAAAAAAATAAAGAAAGGGAAAAGAAAAGTTTCCCTGGCAATGGGCTGGGGAGAATGCTCAGTGCATAGAGCATGTGTACAAGTGTGAAGACCCGAGTTCAGATGGCCAGAACCCACATAAAAGCTGGCTGGGCAGAGCCCACTGTGATTCCAGTCTCTGAAGACAGAGACAGAGCAACCCCAGAGAAGCTGGCTGGAGAGACTAGCCACATCCTCCAGCTCCAGGTTCCACAGAGAGACCCTGCCTTCATGTAAAGGTGGAAGAGCAATCAAGGAAGATTCTAGACACCAACCTCAGGCTCCACAAGAGTGTACACACACATGCTCACCACACACGTGCTCGCATACACCCGCTCTACACACAAACACTCAAAGATGGAAGGAAAAAACGGTGTTCCTTTTCACCTGCTTCTCACCGCTCCTGCCCGGCTGAGCTAATCACCCGCCATCTTGGTCTGCTCGGTTGCCCTGGACCACTAATGATGGACGACGCTGTCTTAGGGCCTCTTGTCCACACCTTCCCTTCTTCCCTTATCTCATCTTTCCCGTCATTCCTTTAAGCCCTCGGCTCCCACACAGGCCCAAACTGTGACCATGAACTCTCAACTCATTCACACAAGTCCCTCTTGGTTGAACAGGAGTAACTAACCACCTTACCTTCATCAGTTCATCTCCAGACAACTAAACCAAAAACGTGAATCCCACATCACCACTTCCTCGTCCCAGTTAAGTCCCACAACTGATTCCTGGGGGCCCGGGGGGGACCTCCTAGCTGGTCATACATCTGTTCTGCGCTACCTAATGTAATATTGCCATTTTAGCCTGCCCTGCACTGGGTGTTTTCCAGAAGCCCAAAGAAATAATATTTCTCAGTAAGGCATAAGGGTGCATAGCTGTAATCCTAGTGCTCAGGAGGCTGAGGCAGGAAATTGCCGTGAGTTTGAGGCCAGCCTGGGCTACTTATTCAGGGTGAGCTAGGGCAACCAGGAGCTTTATTAGGTGATGACCAAATTTACAATGTAATTGTAACTGACAACTATCTCAAAGGGGCAAAACGAAAACAAAAACAATTTAAAAACAACAAAACAAACGAACAGAAAGGGCCAGCAAGGTGGCTCAGTGAACGAGGCACTTGTCTTCAAGTCTGACCTGCGTTCTCCTGGGAACCAACATGGGTGAAGCCAAGAGCTGACCTCCATCTGTATGCTGTGGCACTCTCTCGCTCTCTCTCTCTCTCTCTCTCTCACACACACACACACACACTTACACACACAATCACACTAAAATGTAAATAATATAGGAAGCCCTGTACAGAGTTCTAAAATAGAGAGAGAGAGAGAGAGAGAGAGAGAGAGAGAGAGAGAGAGAGAGAGAGCGAGCGAGCGAGCGCCAGCCGGGCACAGCGGGGCTGTAATCCCAGCACTTGGGAGGCAGAGATTCGAAGGACAGAAGTTTAAAGTCACCCCTGACTACACAGCGTGTCCAAGGCCAACCTGGCACACAGGTGACCCTTTATCAAAAAGGAGGGATCCTTCTATTCACAGAAGCCCAAAGGGCCCAATACCTCCTTGAACTGGGGGTGGGCAGCGTCCCTCACAAGCTGCAGAATGAGCGATTCGCTGGTGGAGAGGAAAGCTCCGCTCTGCCTCATGCGGGCCAGTGCCACCAGCCGGTCGACCTGGCTACAGGAGAGAGGGGGAGAGCGGGCAGGCATCCGTGCTGCGGGGTGCCTGGCACACACGGAGGGCCACCCCCACAGAGACCCTCTCACCTGCGAGAAGAGCAGGCGTCCACCACCACGTGGACCTGCAGTCCCCGGTCCAGGAGGTCCAGGGCCGTGTTCTAAGGGCAGAAAGGTCCAGGTCCAGACCCAGAGCACAAACAGGGCTCCCTCCCAGCGAGGGACTGGGGAGCCCCAGCCAGAACTGGGGACTTGGAATGAGGATGAGGAGGCTCAGCCAGGGCCCCAGGGCAGGAAGGAGGACCAGGAGGTGAGGACAGGCAGGGTCTCACCAAGATGCAGACTTGTGTCTCAATGCCACAGAGCAGCACGGACTGCAGCTGGCGCCGGCCATCCAGCTCCTTCTGTAAGGTGGGCACCATGCTGAAGCATGTCTTACTCACTGGCCGAATGCCCTGAGCACCCAGCTCGGGCACTGTGGGGCCCAGGCCTTGTGGGTACTGCTCCGTCAGCAAGACAGGGACATCCAACAGCCGGGCCACCTACATGGGAAAAGAAACACGGGACTGGATTCCTGGGGTCTGGGGGAGGAGGGCTAGGGTCTGGATTCCCGGGTCTGGAGGAGGAGGGCTTGGGCCTGAAGCCCTGGGTCTTGAAAAGAGCGTAGTTCGTACCTTCAGCATTCGAGCGGCCACCGACACAATCTGTGGGAAGTAGGCTATGCTGGGACGAAACTTCTCCTGCAGGTCGCATAGGAACAGGATGGAGGACTCTGGGAGGATCCGGCCCAGGCTAGCCCTGGCTGCGGCCATTTCCTAGGGGTGGACAGAGGGACAGTAGGCAGGGTCAGGTGGGGACTGTGGGGATTCAAGGGAAGTCTTTAGTACACGCGTACTTTTGACATGTGCACGACCATGTCAAGAACCGAACCCTCCGACCCCCGGGAAATGGGCAAAGCCTTCACCGGGTAGACTCAGAGGGATGGGTAAGCCTCTTTCAGGTCTGAGTGTGAATACTGACCGTGTGAGCAGGAAATGTCCACAGTAGCCTCGTTCCCCCGCTCCTGAAGACTGCCCCTTACAGAGACCGCTCTATGACCGCTAAACCTGCCCCCTTATTTATCTGTATGTAATAACTGCTGCCCTGTTCAACTGTGTATAATAAATACACTGAGGCTACAGGGCGGGGTGTGTGTACGTGTGTGTGTGTGTGTGTGTGTGTGTGTGTGTGTGTGTGTGTGCATGCGCGCGCTGGGGCTTCTTCACTAGGCGCTGCACAGCGCCGTCCACCTAACCTCAGCTTTCATGAGCTTGTGTCCCTCTGGCTGTCTTTTCTTCATGCCCTTGCGGCCCCGGTACGGGCAGCCACTGGAGCTTCGCACAATGCAGCAGGGTTTGAGGCTCAGGGACTCATCCTGGGTTCACACACTTGGTTCTGTGGTCCCTGCAGGCCTGCTCCCACCTCCAGGTCTAAGACTTGCTCCCTCCCTCCTACCCTCCCTCCCTCCCTCCCTTCCTTCCTCCCTCCCTCCCTCCGTCCCTCCCTCCCTTCCTTCCTCCCTTCCTCCTACCCTCCCTCCCTCCCTCCCTTCCTTCCTCCCTCTCTCCATCCCTCCCTCACTCCCTTCCTTCCTCCCTCTCCTCCTTCCTTCCATCCCTCCCTCCCTCCTTCCATCCCTCCCTCCCTCCCTCCTTCCATCCCTCCCTCCCTCCCTCCTTCCATCCCTCCCTCCCTCCCTTCCTTTCTTTTCTCCCTCCCTCCTTCCCTCCATCCTCCCCTGTTTACAGGTGAGGCTACTTCCCCAGGAAGGGGTCTCCGAGGAGCGCAGGTATCTGCCTCCGCCCCAGAGTCACCCTCCACAACCCCCCTCCCCCAGCGGGCTCCTTCTGGCACAAAGGTTGTACTGTCCCAACAAGTACTTTTCTCACTTTCTACCTGTCACTAGTGGAACACATTCAGCCTTCACCCCTGGGGAAACTGAGGCCTGAGCAGTAAGGTGACCTGCCCAGGGGCATACAGATCTGGAACACTATCTTTGAGATGAATAAGAGCCATGGAGTCTTGCTATGTAGCCCAGGATGGCCTTAAACTTACAATCCTTGGCATCAGCCTCCTGAGTTCTGGGCTAACAAGCATGTGGTATCACG